TGGTGTATTTCAAATGTTTTTGTTTTTAACAACGATCTTAACATTTACATAGGTTAATCAAAAAGTTTTCGGACTTTTAAATATTTATTCATATAAAATATATTTTGTTAATCTTTTTACAGTAACTGTTCGTAGTAGTTCCCATTATGTTCAATACAAAACTTTATGTTTTCGATCTAATTCTGAAATGTTTTTTTGGTTTTCTTGAACAGGTATTGAATTGAGCTCTTTCGTTATTGTTTTACCTGAACTCGTAGCATGTGGATATGTATCAAGGCTACGTTTCAGACAACTGAACAACCAAAAGTCTGAAGGAGCTAGACTAGGTGAGTATGATGGATAAATCATAATTTTGATTTTTCCTTTTAAGGATCATTAAGATTAAGAGCAATAATTTACATATGTGATTTTTGCATCTTTATATTGCAAATTTATGCTATTTGGTATTGATGATGTTCTTTTCTCTTATATAGATTTTTGACTAATGTCTTCAAGTAATCCTCACAATAGTTTATGCGATAACGATATCTAAGATGGTAATAGTATCATCAACACTCATGTGTGGGTTATCAAGCACCAGGTCTTTGACATGATCAATATGTCGTTGAATAATGACGATTATTGGGCGAACATTTCGAGCATCAGCTTCCAACAACTCTCGTCCACTTGAAAATCAATGAACCTAACGAATCACTGCACTATATGAAACAACACCTTGTCCATAAGCAGTCATTGATTCATTTATGATTTTGTGTAACAATAAAATCTAAAAAACTAACAGATTTGTATATATGATCGTATACAAAGTTTATTCATCTGACAACAGAGGTGTTGAAAAGAATTCATTCAAGATTTGCCATAATAGAGACTCGTGAAACTTCGCATTGGTATTTTAATACATAACAAATGTTGCTACTAGAATAGGCCAACATGAGGTATAAAATCAATCAACATGAAATTTTGAAGTAGTCTTACGAGAAATTCTTCACTACTTTATGTAAATAAATCATAGAAAAAAGAATTAGACAGTTACACCAGCGAAGCCCAACTAGAAAAGTGGCTGATTATACAAGTCCAAAAAAAATGTCAGAATGCACTCCTAAACGACACCTGTTGTTTTTAATTCTTGAGACTTCCGTAGAGGAAATCAGAATCAATTTGAGTCTCGTGCAGAAATCTTGACTCCGTTGATAAGTTAAAAGATAATGAATCTGAACTAAGTATTAACATATGAGGAAACTATTGCAAATAGTATATGATTTATCAATGGTGTTTTTTATATTGAATCCTGTATGACTATATAAGGAAACTCTCAACTGTTAATTATCGTTTTCGGTAATTTTTAGAGCCTCCGAACTAAGTCAAGTAAAAAAAAACAGATTTCAGATATGCGCTTGTCACATTCTCAGGATCTTGACAAATGTGTTTTCATTTTGAAATTATGCTTAGAGCTGACAAGGACGAATGGCTGACTTGAGCCATGACCGATGAATTAAGAAGAAGAAGAAGAGCTTGTTATGGAAACTAAACGAGAGAAAAGTAATAAGTCAACTACTGCACTTTGTGCCGTCAGCCGCCTTCCAATCAATGGAACAAACGAAATTTTACGGAACAATTTGACAAGTTTCTTCTACAGAGCTCTATTGTGTATCCAATATTTAGGAATTGAAAAAAAATAGTATTTAAATTATTATCAAACAAACAAAAATCAAGGTATCAAACGAAAATTCAAATGTTTTGACATAAGAAAACTTGATAGATATGAGTGAATTTCAACTTTTTAGTACAAATAGTGCAGAAAAACAAAAATAGACGTAAACAATTTCTGAGTTGTACATCTGTGATTATACATTGTGTCTATGTTATACAAGAAAAGTTTTGCTAATACTTAACTGAATATTAAGGGAAAAATATAGTGTAAAGTTTAATTTCTGCTTAATTCAAAGACTAAATTGGTTTTATTCGATAAAAAGGCTTGAGTAATTTTTGTAGTTTTACATATGAAGTGAGTAGTCATGAACAACTCACAATACATGCAGATTTCTTCATCGAATTCTTCTGAGTTAAATTATACTCGAAAAGAATATTTTTAAGTTAGTTTAACTGAGGACATCGGCGAAAACAGCGGCACTGTATGTTTTCCCCCAATATCATCACTGTATTTTGTGTGCTATAATTTGAATATATTCGGAATAGTAAAAGCTCGAAGATTGAAATTTTTATCGCTAATATAAATTTTTGAGTTCTATGTTAAACTGAAAACTTGAATGAAATTAGAATGACTGTTCATAAGTTTTAAACCAAATAAGTTTCAAAATATCATCGTACAAAATTAGTGGATATACTATTTTTTGAGTACTCGAATCTCTTTTTTCTCTAATATAGAACAAAGATAATGTGTCTGTCATTGAATGTAGAGAGTAGAAGTATCTGAACAGAAAGATGTTTATAACGATGCATCACATGTTTCAATAGAGTGATATCCAAGCCAAAAATAGCCTACTTACATTTTCTTTTTTACTTATTTCTATTCTCAGACAAGCGTCTTCTTTACATATATGTCGCGTAAAAATACGATCTTTTTTAGCTATCAACCCTGTAACCTTGAAACGATACAGGATAGAAACAAAAAATTTAGTGTGGATGTGAGGGCTACGAAGAGAATAAAATTTAAAAAAACACTTCAAAATCGTTCGATGGAAACTAAAACTATAGCGTAGATACTTGGAAATACCAATTAAATTTAAAAAAATGTTGAAATGAAGGAAGACGAACCACATAGGCAATGGTTTCTAATGTCTTCAAAACTAGTGAAGAAACTTACATTATGAAATCTTTTTTCATTTCATAGTAACATAGAAATGAATACCTCTCAATGGTGAACATTTTTTCAAAGCTTCGACTAGACATGTGTAGACCAAGTGATTTTTATCCTGCTCCCCGGTAGCTTCTTTTTCAAAGGTCTTAATCATAGTCACAGTGAATCTAACATCCTTCTGGTCTCGGTTCCCACACATGTCTACTCAAATGCAACAGCTACTGAGAAAAGAACATGATTAGAAATGTAACAAATAGATAAAATCATGTTTTTAAATAATTTTATGAATTAAATAAGAATAGATCACCACTAGAAGAGACAACGGCACTATAATTTATCTCAAGTAAATATGCTTTATCACAGTCATATTCACAAACGGAAAAAAACGATTGTCTAAAGATGATGAAACGATAGGTAGTTAACAAAATGACCAAATGCAATCAGACAATGACAAAGACATTTTAGTGTTCCTAATGATGAAACTGTTTATTTTCTTTTATAGGCATCAAGGTTGAAACCGATTTGGCCGGACCGGTAGATTCCGAAATTTCACCGGTTGAAAGTTTGGAAAAATCTTCTTTGTTAACACTGTTTTTTGCCCATAAAAACTAAGATGTCACATGTTTTTCTGTCAAAATGCAGAAAAAAGTGCTCAAAATATATGTTATATAAATCATTTTTTCTGAGATTCTCTTGAAAAAGATTCATTATGATGAGTGTCTTTTACATGCGTTCCTCAACTATTTTATATTTGGAGCCATTTTTTCTAAAAAATCGTTTTTCAAAAATATTCCCATTTTTCCGTCGGTTTTCAACGAAATTTCACTGGTTGGACATGTAATTCCAACTGATCGGACCGAACCGGTTTAAGATTTCTCAACCGATGGCAACTCTGATAGGCATGTACATAATCGTAATATGTTTATTTATTAAAATTTAATATTTACAGATTTTAAGAATCCGGTTCCGGTCTCAGTAAAATTTTGCTTTTTGTCCCGGTCTTGACTACTGGAACCATGACTAGTTCCGCATATATCTAGTTCCGACGAAGTTCATTCAATAAAAATCTTAGTGTATATATCATTAACTGAACTTCCTATTATTTGCAATCTTTCTAATCTCAATAATTTTTCATCTCATATATTTCAATTTGTAATCTTCTTTGAAATAACAACCACAAAGCCAAGTTCATTTTCACTTTTTTCTCTGTCTGTCTTTTTTTTAATCGCCCTTTTGTTTCACACATACAACCAAAAAGAAAAACCGAAATGATCAAGAACGACAAAGCACACACAAGAAAAATAAAGAAAGAACATAATATATCATACATCTACATGAAGAAAACGAGCGAAAGACACAGAAAGAAAAGTTAATAATGGTCATAGAAAAAAAATATAGTTTTAAGAGACATGTTGAATAAGGATCATCACCAGGTATAGAGTACGTAGAAAGGAACGATACTATTCAATAAACAATACAAGTCGTCATGAAATAGACACACACACACACACAAATATATAGAAAAAAAGACGTCGAAGTTTACCAGAGAAATACCGCATACAATGTGGTATTGCTTTTTCTTTACGATGGGAATGTCATGAGTTAAGCAAACAAAAAAAAAATTATGCTGTCTTAATATGCGTTTGTCAATGTGTATAAAAATAATTGGGGAGAAAAAAAGAAACGGCTATAGTTATAATGATGTTCTAATAAACAAAAAAAACCAGATGAAACAAACAAATGAACAGAGAAGAACAAGAACAATAAACGTAGTAGAGTTTTTTTTTCAGATATTTTTTTTAATTAGTTTGAGAAAATTTATATGATTTTTTTTTCTTTCGTTTTCATTTGTTTTATATGTTTTTTTTCAATTTCATGATATATAAATTTCTTTTAGAAATATGAATATCATGTTTTTATCAACAACAACGAAAATAAAGAAAAATAAAGTATGTATATCTAAACTTTTCGATCGTTTTCTTTTTTCCTCATCACATCATCAGATTTCGTAACACAAATGGTGGGACAAATTATCTTAAGTTTATATCTAAACTGATCTTTCACAGTAAAACGAAGACAAAAAAAAAGAAGAAGAAAAAAAAGAAAGAAAAACAAGTATATTAAGTTCTTTTTGAAAGATAGGAAGCAAAAAAAGAATCTCGATGATTGTATTTACTTATAATCATGATTGATGTCGACGTTGATGATGATGATGATTCGCTAATATTTGTTGATTTGTATGGAAATCATTTGAATAATTTCGAGATCCATGATGATACGACAAAGAGTTTGCTGTTTGTCGTTGAATATTATGATGTCGATAATGTGAATTTTGATGACGATGATTGTGATTAGGACGGTAATATCTATACGAATTCGATGATGAACTCGATGGCGATGACTAGAAAAATAAATATAGGTATAATTAGATATTTATAATCAATATTTAAATCATTTTGATATGATTAATAGCAATAGAAATTTAGCCTTTTCTATATAGATGAATAGACTATCGAAAATGTTGCAAACTTGGTACTAGAACTCGTTGGGTTCAAAACATTTGGACCCTTGCTCAGTTGATTGAACTTGTTTTTGGATCTGGACTCAGTCGAATCGTACTTTGGTACTCTCTATGAAATTTGCTAATCGGAATAGGATAGTTGCTCCGAAGATATGAGATACTTTTTTTCGGTTGTTTTTTTCTTCAGTGATTAGTGCATCCTGCACATATCTCAAATAAGTAGAGCCCGTTGAATTAGTGTTAGATTCGAACCTAGTCGAGTTCAAGTCCAAATACTGTGCACCGAATCGATTCTATGCTACACATTTCTCATACGAGTCATCTGAAAACTGCTTAGGATGTACTAAGTACCGAATACGAAAAGTCAGAACATCGAGTCTCGTACCTGTGGGGTGACTATCCTATTCCGATTAGAAACTTTCATTGAAAATATCAAAGTACGGTTCGACTGGTTCCGGATTCGGGCACCAAAAGTATCAAATAAACTGAATCCAAAAATTTTGGAACCGACGGGCTGTACTCGACAAGGTCAGCAATCAATCTGGCAAGTTCTAGTTGCTGGACAAAATGTTACAATATATCCGTGCGTTACCAACTAATAATGGAAAAATAATGATTAAAAGTGAAGAAAAAAAAATAATGAGATAATACTCTAGTTACTCAAAGAAAAAATTCAATGATGAGTTCAAAAAATTATTGATACATTTACAAAAATCTGCAAAGATTTTCAGCTATTATACTGAAACAATCTTTTGTTTCGAAACCTTTTAGACTATCTCAACGAAATAAAAGTTTTAGAATGACATTCAAATACTTCTTAAAAATTCTTCTGTTGCCTACGTAATTTAATAAAGTTTCAGACAAGATTTCTTTGGATTTACATCAAGAAAATTCTTTGCAGACTTTAATAAATGTGCTAATACTTTTCTAATTTAGTGTTCGACTGTCTTTAAATAACTAAAGTATTACCTCGTCATTATGTTTTTTCACTTTTAATCGCTTCTTTTTACTCAATTGATCAGTCATATACAGATAGATATAAAGCAACATTTTGTCCGCGACGAAAAGTCTTGTCGCATCAAAAATTGATCATATTTTGTTTAAGATTTAGATTAAGTCAATTTATCCATATAGAATTACTAGTAGAAGAAAGGATATGATTATAACAGAATAGAACATTGAATTTCGAAAAAAAAAACCAAATCTTCATGATAAAAAAAGAAGTTAATCAAGTAGAAAAAAATTTAATAAAAACAAAAAATGAATTCACTCTTAATTGTATTTTATTGTTTCATAAAGCAAAGACCAATAGTAATTATATATTCACGTTTTGAAGATATATGAATATTTTCTTCGCCAATATTTTATTCTGGTATGATAATAACAATGTTCATATATGTGAAATTTCCAATGTCCAAAAAAAATATTTTCTTCTACCATTGAATAAAACTTTTCAATTTTTCCATATTCGAGAATTTTAGATTCATCTCGAATATATTTAACTTTGTCTCCAAATTAACAGTATATATAATAGAAAATGATAGACATGATTAAATCTTATAACGAAACATTTTATACACATGAATTTAAAAAGATTTAATAATTTCTTTGCATGAAGAGTTTTTCTTTCAAATGCTTGACTATAATGAAATGTTCATATAAATGTAAAACATTTAACTCTACAATCGAAGACTGAGATGGCATATTTCATATATATGTATTTTCTTTGGTATCTGATTTAAATGAAAAACTTCGAAGATAAATTATGTCGAAAAATATTTCGACATACAAATAACTCTCCTTCAGTTTTTCTCATCTTGTATCGCAAAAAAAAAATCTCGTTTTTTTTTTTTTTTTTTTGACTAAAATATAAAGGCGTAAAAATATTATTAGAAAAAAAGAAATAAATACTTGTAAAAAAAAACAAAAGATTTTTTTTTTTCAATAGATAATAATACATACCGATCGACTGGAATTTGATGATGAACTTGAACAATGATGATAATGATGTGGATGTGAATGATATCGTTGTTGATGATAATTATCATCAATAAATAAATGTTCATATTTATAATGATAATATTCTTTAAGATGATGTATATTTATTAATGTTGCTTCTTTATCGTGATGTGTTAAACAAACCGTACTTTGTTGTATAACATTAGATAAATGATCAAAAAATAATAAACAAAGTCTTACATTAATAATATTATTTTGTGTATAAGATGTTTTTATATTTTGTTGATTATTATCTCGATATTGTAAAATTGAATTTGTTGTTTCATCCATATTTGTTAATGATAATGGTAAAAAATGTGTTGTAACATATTGAGTTATAACATACATTTGTTCAGGTATTGTTTTATAATCAATAAAAAATCTTGAACACATATATCGTTGCATACGAAACATATCTGTTAGATCATGAATTTTATAATTTTGTGCTAATAAATCACAATATTTCTATAGATATAATAAATAGAATTAATATATAAGAAAACAAAAAAAAAAAAAAAAAAAAAAAAATAAATTTACCAATAAACCACCACCACGCATTGTTTCAGGTGCATATGTTGCAATTAATTTTTTATTTAAATGATCAAGTGCTTGATGTAAATCTCTATAACCGGAAGAAACTTCAATGACTAGTGGAGATGATGGTATTTCAATAGCAATAATTGTTGCTGGACTAGGTGGTGCACTATTTGTATCAACTGGTGTACGAAATACTTGATCATCATCTTCATTAACTGAATCATCAGCATCTGAAACAATACCATCATCAGTATCATCATTTAATGAAAGATGAAATTGAAGTGAACTATCTGTTGGTTCTTCATTTATTGTTGATATTGATGCTTTTAATAAACGTGAACGAGATTCGAATATAGCTAAACGATAAATTTAAGTAAATAATAAAAAAATTTTAAAATATATATGAGATATTAGTTTATTGAGTCTTTTGTCAAAAATTGATCTCAGATCAAATATATTTGAATCGAATGAAATTTTTTACCCTATATCATAATGTTTGAAGGAGATATTCAATAAACAAGGGTAAAAAATAGAGTGTACACCAGAGCTGAACATAGGACAGGACAGAAAATCTTGTCCTGTGCTCACATCTGTTTTGTAAACTTTCTTTTTCTTTGTATCTTCTTTTGTTATACAGTAATTTTCGTTATCCTATTTTGTTTTATTAATAGTATTCAATATTTGTTCAGATAATAATGATAAAACTTCACAAGTTCCTTTTTTTTTATATTTGTTTCCTATGATATACATGCTATTATAATAATAAATCAAGATGTTTTATATATTTTCTTGTATTTATAATATTAGTCATTTTTTGAAAGCTTCAGTTGCTCTATTTTAAAATGATACGAAATAAATTAACTATAAGATAACTAATATCTTCTTTGGGGATTGAAAGTCAAAATAAGGATGCTTACTGACCTGGACTGTGCCTAGCTCTAGTGTGCATCTCCTGATTTCATGACCTCCGGCGATCCCTCATTCAGTCTATTTAATTACTTTTTGTTGGAAAGAGTATGTCAAAGTCCTTTGGTTTTTAAATTTCTATTTTTTAAGCTGAAAAAAGCTTATGATAAGTTCAATCGTTCAAAAAACTAGCGATCTAATTCTTTTTTTTTGTGCGATGATCGCAAAGCTTATTAAAACAAAAAAGCTTTGGCAAGTACTGCAATTTTACACACTCTTTCGAACAAAAAAAGAATTTAAATTTAGAGAATGAAAGTTCATAGAGAAGTCTAAGATGCGCGATTAAAAAGCATAAGCAAAATAAAAACGAAAAAAAATTCTTTTGTTTTTTTTCATTGGGAGATTTGAATGAAGTAATCATCAATTACTATGTATCTTTCTTTACTGTATATAAATAAATTTCTTTTTAAGGCTTGTTTAACTTCAATATATAAGTAATTTTTTTTTTAATTACATAGAATTCAGTCGAAAATACTCTAGTGCAATGAACTTTTTTTCGTTTCAGCTCGCTTTTAATTAAAAGTTATAACCATTAGAAACATTTTACGTCAATATAAAAATTTAAAACATGAATCATAATCTATAAATAAATACTGAAGAGAAAAGGCGGAATGACATTAAATAATATTCTTTTTGATATGAAACTTTTTTCTCTTGCATGAGCTTTATGTTTCTACAACAATTGTTGAAAGTTGTTAAAACATCTTTATACGTCATTAAAGTACTTATTTTCCATATAAACACCTCAAAACCTTTTTTAGAAAAAAAAATCATGTTTTTTTTAAGCAGACCATGATAGAAATCATCAAAATGAAAGGTCATGCCCCAGGCAAACGTTCCATGCAGTTATCTTAATGTTAATTTTTCTGATGAAATTTGCCTTTTTTTTTGTTTTGAGTGCTGAAAAGAGCCTTGATCTGTGTTCGAAATGGAAACTGTTAATTGTGTCATTAAGTTTTCCATTAATTTTATTTTTCATTGGGAAGAATAAAATATCGAATACAAAAATATTTTTAAGAAAAAGAAGTTTTTTGAAGCCGCAAAAATCTTAGAATCAAATATTCACTTAATAAGAAAGATTATTTTTTTTTTGTTTTATTCATTTATTTTCAAGTTTGATAACATAAAGATCGGTTAGTATGCCAAAAAATTCACTAAAATCTACCTGGAAAGAGAAGTTATCAGAAACTGAATATATTTCAGTTCTTTTTTTTGCATACTTGATCAATTATTTTTATTTTATACAAAAGCATTCATTATAAAGAATAGCTGTATTATTGTATGATGTTGAAAAGTATATAATGAAAACCAATTTAAAAAAAATATTTGAATGAAATACAAGAAAAAGAAATCATTTGCCGGAAGTTGCAGCAGAGTTTCCGGAGTACATTTTTGTACTGAAATTAGTAGCTTTTAGGAAATACTTCCAATCAAATTCTTTTATATATTTTTTTTTTTTTACACTTAATATTTTACTTGTGATAATAAAAGAAAAACAAAATTGCATGACAAAGGTATATCAAGAACAAAATTAATTCAACATTTTTTTTTGTTCTATCCATTATGTTACAATCAACATAGAAAAGTAGACTTTTTTACCCTTCATCTTATCTTAAAGACTATTGACATATACACATTAAAGTATATGAAATGAAATTGACAAATCAATTTTCTTAATATATAATTTAACTGTCTTTCATTATAAATTCTCAGTACATTTTATTTTCATAACAATGTTTATCATTATTCGTCAAGGATATATATATCTTGTTATTATCGTGATGCATTTTACTTTCATATAATCATAATATTTAATTAAAATAAATTAGCGTTTAATCATACAAAATATTATAAATAGCAACGAATATATTATTGTGTATGACATTCACCATTGTACCTCTACTAACCTCATATTGTGTATCACTGTATTTAGTAGTAATAGGTTAAAACAATTGGGCAATGAAATAAAAAGAATGATGAAACAACGAAATGACTTTTTTTAGGTTTGTAATGTTCCAACAATTTTCAAATGTTGGTCTAATAAATTTTTTGTAAATGAATTAGGGATTGAATTATATACATGGTTTATTATTAGTGTTGTTTTATTTTTGCTTTGGTGATTTATTATCTTGATGGAAATCAAAATTTTTCTTTAATAGAAAGTATGAATATGATGATTAGATTTCGTTTTGCTTTCATAAGTGTCAGTAGGTTCGAATAATAAAATATTATTTAAAAATTTTCTCTATTCTAATGAATGATAAGCTTTTGTTTTCAACATAAACATAACTTTCTACGACTAATTTTCAAATATTGATAATAAGATACAATCAATCAAAGGTAATTCTATTCACTAAGAGGACATAAAACTACTTTTTTCATTAGAAAATGTTTATTCAACAAGTCAACAGGAAGCATACGAAAAATGGGACATTAACTAAAAGGTTAAGTATTCAATAAAAATTATGATATAATTAAGTGCATCTATTATGATCATACGATTCCAAGTAGATTTAAATCCTACCAAAACATGATCATGTAAGAGTTACAGTGAAGTTGTTCGCCTACGTGCATGATTTGTAGGCAAATGGTTCCTTAGCAACGATTTCATTTGCCAACAAGACAAAGACACGTCACATACACATTAAGAAACATTAGCATAATGTGAAAAGAATTTCATGCATTTTTATAAACAATCATCAAACAATCATAATCTCAATATATTTGATTATGACTTGTGAGACACTAGTGCTTATAATAGGTTATAGGATTTAGCTTAAAACTATGATTCTGTACTTGATAAAATAAGGAAAGGAATTTGTTATGAACAAAAAAAAACAGTGCATATATTAAATAAAATTCTTATTATAACGTGCAGGGCTTTTCATAGTGCATTTTGTGTTAAATTTTGTTTTTAAGGGTATTTCTCTCATAACTCAAAATTTTTTGGTTTTTTGTTATTATTCAATAGTCTGAAATATAACGACTCGTGTTTTTCTCAAATTAATTTTTACATAAAAAAGAAAAAAATGCAGAAACGCCTCCGCTTCTTCGCCGGAGTACATTCAACCAAGCTGAAACTTTGTTGTACATATGCTATACACTATCTGGAATGCGCATTTTACTTGTTTCAAAAGATACGATTCTACTGATTCTCCGTATCTCTTACACAGAAATGCTCTCTTCAACAAAAACATGCATTTTTAAGGGTACCGTCGATATTTTACCTTTTTTATTCGAAGAACAGAAAACAAAAACATGCCCACGTCAAATAATGTCTAATGCTTATTAAATAATATCCTGCTCGATCGAACAAAGCATGTTAGAGACACAAGGATACAAATTGGGGTCATTGTGGTCCCATTATCTCATAGAAGACAATATCCTAGAACTTTGAGCTTATGACATCTGCTACTCTCTTCGTCAACTTCTATCTACCCTGAAAATATCAAATTGTTTTGATAATCTATTCTTCAGATATTATGGACAGGATGAGCGGGGACTCTGAATTAAAATGTTAGTATTTTCTGCAAAGAAAAAATGATTTGAAACAGAAAAATTTACTATCTTCTAGGCAATTCATTATGCTGTATCATCGGAACAGAGCAAAATATTTTTTTTTGTCGGCGAAAAGTTTGTTTGCAAAGGAAACTACTATGTTCGATAAACTACAATCCATTAGTTTTTCTTTTTATAACCTTATCTCATTTGATATTGAAAATCGAATATAATTAAGATTTTTAATTCAGAATATTGAAACTCTAATATTTATTTAAATAAATACTCACGATTATTAATATTATTATTTGATGTTGAAATAGTTGTAATAGTAGCTAATGTTTGACATTCGATATTATTTTCTTGTTGAATTGTATCAGGTGATGATGATGGTGTAAAAAATCCAAAACGTAATGGACTTGTGCTTGTTAATAAAATATTATTTTGATGATTTTTTTCATTACTATTTTTACAATCATTTCTTTCATCATCATCATTATCATTATTATCTTTTTTTATTATTGTTAAACCATTAATAGCATCAATAATTAAATTTTTTGTTTTTATTGTTTTTGTTATTGATGATATTGATGAACGATTATATATTTGTGATAAATTACGATTTGTATGATTATTTAATTGTTTTTCATATAATAATGGTTCAAGATTAATTTGAAATGAATCAACACTAAATTGCCATTGTCGTTTAAGATGTTCAACAAATTTTAATTCAAGATTTTGTCCCGAATAATTTTGTAATGATAATAATGCCCATGAATCTTGTTCTGATGATATTTTAATATTTTTTTTTGCATATGCATCAAGTATAGTTGATAAATAATGATGTGTATATTGTTGTGATTGTTGTTCAGATGTTTTTATATTTGTAATATGTTCTAATAAACATGAACATATAATATATTTAATTATTGTCCATACATCACATAAATATGATTCATTATTTGATGAAAATAATGTTGTTTTTTGTTCAGATGATAATGGAGTTTTAATATGTATTAATATATCAATATCACGATAAACAAAATTTGAATCATTAACGAGTACATACGACGCAGCACCACCATTTAAACGTATACTTGTTATATCAATTGAATATTCTTTTAATTTATTTCGAACTTGTCGAAGAAAACTTCGTGGTGTTAAATTTAATGTTGGAAATGATGATGGTGGTGATGAACATATTGGAATTGAACGATCTAATATATGTTTTAATTTATCTGTTTGTTCACAAGTTAAATAAACTTTTGTATTATTATTATTATTATTATTGTTTGAATTTGTTGAAGTATGTGAAACATGCATTCCTTTTTTTTTTTTGTGGTCGATGGCTTTTTTCCTCTTTATTTCTAGAAAATACAAAAAAAGAAAGATAATATATTATCATTACTATTTATATACATATTTCTGACTGTACAAATGAATAATATCGACGACGACGACCGCAATGTAGAATAGCAACAATAAACAAGTAAAGAAAAAGAAATGAAATGGAGGTTTTCTTTTAGTCACGCGCACATATAAACTATTCTCTTGTTTTTTCCTCTCCATCTTTTTCTCGGTAGTATATAGACGAAAGAAAGACAGAAAGGAAGAGAAATACGAATAATCACAGTAACGACTAATAATAATAATAATAACAACAACAACAACAACGACAATAAGAATAGAAAGGAAGGACTCCGAACGATTCTTTTGAAAGAAAAGTATTACAATAAAAAATATTATTAGTTTATAGACAATACAGTTGATTCGATTGGATATAAAAAGTGACATCTGAAATTTAAAATAAGTTTTTGGTTAATATTGACATAGTGCGACATCAAAAACAAAACAAAATAGAAAAAGTTTTCTTTCATTTTTATTTTCCTATACTAAAAAAACAACAGAAACAGCAGAAACATTAGTATATATTTACTCTATGACGAACAAGTTTACTTAATATTATTTGTCTGTGTTCCTTTAATATCTGAGAACACAATATCAATCTTCCACATTCTTATGTTTATTTTTAATATTTCTATAAAATTCTACGGACTTATTTGTCTTATTAATTTTTTTATATTTAATCATAATACCAAATAAAAGAATTTTTATTATGAAAATTTATTTGTTATCTCTCATATACTTTATAATATAATTTTCTCTTCATGTTTTAATTAAAACTTCTTTCACTATATAGATTTTCTAAAATATTCAAATACTTATTCAATCTAATTAAGATAAACTTTCAACTGACTTTAAAGAAAAACAACTACATCAATACTTGTTACTTATTTATAATTCTCATAGGACTTCTGCAATACAAACAAACATTTTTTCGTTTCTTTGATGAGTATCTAAAAATAAATTTTCCTATTTTCTATCATAAGACATTAATTAAAGATATAAATAGGATAAATATATCGTTTTTTTTTTCTCCACGTTGCATTCGGTTATATATAAATTAAATTAGAAATATTTTATCTAAAAAAAGAAAAAGAAAAGACTTAACAGATGCTTCCGTAGTAATTATAAATCAAAAGAGGAGAAGAAGAAGAAAAGAAAAACAAATTACGAACGATAATTATTCGGATGGTGTCAAACGAAGAATTAAGTCTTTTAAGTTTGGAAATTTTTCAATTAAATATGATCTTTTTCCCCATTCAAAATCTTGATAATCAAATCCTGGTGAACAAGTACATCCACATAAAATATAATTATCATTTGAATTTTCTATATTTGTTTTAATTAATTCAGCTGCAAACCATTTTCCATAAGGAATAAGAATTTGTGGTCGAACATTTTTATTTCGACTTAAATCTTGACCTAATATATGTTCAGTATGTGACGAATTTTCTTCATCTAATTCATGTATAATTAATGGTGAACCTTTATAAAAATGCCATATTTCATCTGCTTTTATACGATGAAAAATACTTATTGGTGTTTCAGGAAATTTAAGTAAAAAATAAATTGATGTTGAACATAAACGAATCTGTTTATTGTAACGTTCAAGTGCACAATGATCATTACTACGATATATTTCAGCATAAAACCCACCTTCTGGATGTGGTTTTAAATCTAATATACGTATCCATTCGTCAGCTTGTTTATCATTTGATTTATTTGTCATGATTAGTTGAATACAAGAATAGGTGTCCGTAAACAAAATACGCAAATGATTTATATGCAGTAACACTACTGCATTATAACCTTCTTTGTGAATCGAAAGAAAAGAAAAAGAAAAAAGATATATATAGAGTGAGAGACTATCACTACATTACCACATAAAAAACAAATAACTCAATTAATAGGGCTATGTACGTCATAAAATCTGAAGAAACAATAAAGATTGTTTTCTAGATAAAAATATGTAATATCATGCATTGAAAAAAAAAAAGTTGACCTTAACAAAAATTGATTGACATGTTAGAATTTATTCTTTTAATGAGCAAATGAGCGTAAAGTCGGGTTAAAAATAATTCGGATAACGAATGATAGTAATAATCATGAAATAATAGACTATCAGTCAGATGAATGGCATATGCAAAAAAAAAACAAAGAAAAAAAGCGGCAGAATGAAAAGCATGGGAGAAAAAAGCAGTCACACAAATAGAAAAAGAAATTGCCTGTTAGGACTTTGGTAGCCGTGCGTGTGCACACATCTCCTGTTATCGAGTTTAGTTGATGTAGAAAAAAAAATCGGTTGAGAGGAGACTTGTGCTAATTGTGATGTGTGCGTGTTTGAAAAGGAAAATTCGAAAAATACTTAGACCGATGACAAATAAAAGAAGAAAAGAACAAGACACGGAGTGTCATTTCAAACGAAGCGGAAAAAGAAAAGTCAATTTGAAATGCTCTTTGCTTTTCTGTCTTTATTCTATTTTTATCGTTATCATATAATCTATCATCTAAACTAAATACACAAACATAAATCTTCTATATTTTCTGTAGAACTATACATTTGTTGATTTTCCGATAAAATCATTCAACTCAATCTAATCTAACAAAATGACGTTTGATATTTTTCTTTTACATTGACATGTATACAAATCTTATTCAATATGTCATGATAGCATTTTGTAATAAAACATGACTTTATTCTATTATAGTATACTCTCATATCATATTATTTTTATTTTTATTTTGTCATGAAAAATGATCTGGTTTTGATGGTTGAGAAGTTTTGTCGTATATTCTAGATAACTTTTGATGACTTGTTTTTTTCAACTAATGTTGTCCATGACAGAATTAAACAGAAGTGGGGTTATACTCTCAATAGTTTGACAAGAGTAATCAGCAATAGCTTGCAGTTATCAACAATCGAAAGAGAAGAACTTCGAACATACTATATAAGACAAAAATTTGAAAATCTATCATTTTTATAAAACATTTGAAAAAAAAATGAATGCGAAAGGTGATCCATCTTGATGTAATTTTGATTTTAATATGTATTTCAGATAGAGAGACTTCCGATCTAGAATTTAGAGTACAATTCAAGTGATTATGTTTTCATATCTTAATATTGAAGAACATATCTATCTATTCGATCAAACTAGAGTTGTATTCAAAAAAAACTTGTAATCGTAAATTGTAATACTACTTTCTCGGAATTACGTAGTTTATTTCTACTGTTTCTGATATGATTGGATAGCCCATGAAAAATACTACGTGTGAATTTATTTCTAGTCTACCTTCAAAAGAAAAATAAAGGATATTAGCATGTCAATTGCAAGTGACAAAAAACATTGCATGATTATATAACAATTTTTCAGTAAAGTGGTATTATCAATCGGAAAAACTAGAAGATAGTCATAGACATAATAATCACAATATTAAAAGTTAGAAATCAATTAAATCGTTCTAGTGCGAAGCTAGAAATAGATAGAATATGAGATCGGAAATAGTAATGAATAAAAGCTCTTTTTAAAAAAATGGAATTCGATCCAAAAAATTGGGTTTCTCTTCAATTCTATTTTAGAAGTTAGAAAGTTTGTCAAAACGCGTGTTCATATTGAGAAAATTTAATTGAAATTGTTTTGAACATTTCTAGATAATATAAATAGAAAAAAACGTCAGAAACAATTTTTGAAAAAAGTATAATATTTTTGTCACTTCCAATTGACACGCTTATATCCTTATATTTTTCTTTTGAAGGAAGACTGAAAATAAATCAAAATACATTCACACGTAGTATTTTTCGTGGACTATCCAATCATATGAGGAACAGCAGAAATAAACTAATTCCGAGAAAGTAGTATTACAATCTACGAGTGCAAGTTTTCTTGAATACAGCTATTTTAAAATAGTTTTATTTGATATAGTATCACGCAAAAAATATGTCCAAAGTTCTTCTCTCTTGATTGATGAACATTGCAAATTATTATCTATTGCTGCTGTGGATTTATTGAGTTTTTACCCACGCCTCTTGAATTCTAGTGTGAACACATTTATTAGATATATTCTGGGATGCAAAAGTCTTTGTATGAAGTATTCACTTACCTTTCCGACACTTATGAACAATTGTTGAGAGTCAAAGTCAGTCAGTTAGAATCAAAATTTTGTGCTCTCTCGGAATATATATGCAAAATTTCCTTTTGACGTAAGCCTGGTTAAGTATGGGAAAATTTTCTAAAGGCTTCAAAATAATTGTCTGTACACAGCAAAATTATGAATTTTGCGCACTTTTTATTTTGAAACAGTTTTAACTTGACACTATTTCAAAGCATTCAATTGCTCTCAAAGTACGCTATTACAATTAGGGAAATTGCGAAAAAGTTTCCTGCTTTTTTCTTAATACAAGTATATATTAATGTTCAGTGCAAAATAATAAAATAGCAAGTAAATTATTCAAAAAATCATTTCATATTTCATATTAAATAGACTTGAGTCAAAATACACAATAGAATTTTGTACACACAATTATTTTGGATTGATTGAAAAATTTTCTCATAGTTGATCAAGTTTACGCCGAAAGAATATTTTGCTCATATATTCCAAAATAACACAAAATTCTGATTCTAATTGACTACTTTTGACTCTCAATAATTGCTTCTAAGTGCCGGGGAAAATGAGCGACCATTTTATGCAAAGACTTTCATGCTATAGGTTAAATTGCTACTGACTTTATATATTATATAAACATAAGAGAAAAAAAAAACAGATATCAATTTAAATAATTTCTTTTTGGTTTAATCATGCATTTAACAAACAAATACATACAACATAAATAAATGCATGAATAGAAAACATTTATTCAATGGAAAATATAATCATGCAAACTATTCATAAGCCTTCGTTGAAGCTTAGAGAAAATCTTATGTCTTAAGGTTTCTCTATTTTATAACCGTATTATAATAGAAAAAAAAAATACTATTTAGGATTAAATGGTTTTAACTTCTCATCATAAAAAGGTCAAACTTTTTTTTTTCTCAATTAAAATAACAACCTGATCTTCTCAAGTTTTGAACGAAATCATATCTTTGTTCTTCAATTTAATCCATAATGTATTCAAAAAAAAAACAAAAAAGAACACGCGCTTCATTAAAATTATAAGCTGATCATTCGATATACTAGAGCAATTACATATGAACATACATGTACATATATACTTGTATATACACATATACAAAGCAAAGATCATCAATAGTGCAAAAAACGTGAACAATCGTGTCATCACATGTATATGTCAAATAGGAGGGAGAGAAATTGAACGAGAGAAAAAGGCGAATAGGGATTAACTAGTAAGGATATTGCCTCCCAACTAACACACGTACTAAAAAGGAAAAAAGAAAAGAAAACGTCGCCGCATCGAATTTGATTACTCATTGCATAAGATCTTCTTTCCTTGTTTTGTTCATACTCTACATACTTTATATATCAGTGAATAAAATTAAATAACATTCACTCATTCATCAAACGGAATTTCAATTAGGCAACAATCTTATGTTCACTCTTCCTCTTCTATTTTTGTTGTTGCCTTATCCGGTCAAAATAAAGTCAAAGTAGAAGTAGGAAAAAAAAAAGAAGAGATCAACATAGTTTTGTGTGATTGAATAATCACACATTGTTTTTTATCTTATCAACCAATTGTGGCTCATGGCAGCATCATCAGTGAGAAGACATGCGGTTCGTCGTGTCGTCCCAATTCTTTCTTCTCATCAGTTTCGTACTACAACATTTACATATTTGTTTAACATTTGTTGAAAATAATCGTTTATTCTATGCTAAAGTAAAATAATAAAATAAAAAGTTTTCAATTTAAAAATGATTTTCTTCTTTCGATTTTTTTTTAGGAGTTTTTAAATCGTTTTGGTTATATAAAAACAAACGGTTCATCATTAGATATATCATCATCAACTGTTCGAGCATTTCAACGTTTTGTTGGTCTCAATCAAACAGGTATCATTGATGAATTAACGTGGCAAAAAATGCGTGAACCACGTTGTGGTAATAAAGATCTTCGACGAATTCAAAGAAGAAAACGTTATATTCTTCAAGGTATATCGAATTGAAATTATATTATTAGTTTGTTTTTGCTTTCATTTGAAAATTTTCTTTTTTGTCGTATACAAGGAAGTCGTTGGCCATCTAATGAACCATTGACATTTCGTATAGTTAAATATCCGACAACATTTCCTCAGCAATTTGTTGATGCTGAATTAACAAAAGCTTTAAAAGTTTAACATTGATGTTGTTGGTTTTCTTCATTTGAAGTTGCTTTCTTGTTTTATTCATTTTAGTTATGGAGTAGTGCATCAAGTCTTGAATTTGACCATCGAAAATTAAAAAAACAGGATGAACAAAAATCTAATAATTTAGATCATAAAACAGATATTAGAATATCATTTGAAATAGGTGATCATGGTGATACAGAACCATTTGATGGACCTGGTAATGTCCTTGGTCATGCATTTTTTCCTCAATATGGTGGAGATGCTCATTTTGATAATGATGAATATTGGACAATGAAAAGTATGTTTAAGTTTATTGATGAATTTAGTTATTGAATGTTTTTTGTTTTAGGTACTGATGGTGTCAATCTTTTTCAAGTTGCTGCACATGAATTTGGACATTCGTTAGGATTAGAACATTCAAACAAACCGGATGCTATTATGGCTCCTTGTATGTATATCCTTTAATGGTATATTCCCTTCCCTTTTAGTGACTCAAAATTGTGAGCATTAAGAGTTCATTCCTATGGACCTCTGGAGTCGACTAATGTCTGTTTTAGTGAATCTTCGATCGAAAATTTCGTCCTGTAAGCAGGTCGAATTATTACTAGAAGATTCTGAAGTTTTTAACAGAAAAGAATGTTACTTTGTCGAAATATTAAATTTTTTCAACTAATCTCGATTTTTGTAGGAAACGATCATTGTTTGAAAATTCTATATCTTCACAAAGTAATATTCTTTTCGGCTAAAACTTTCAGGATCTTTGAATCTATGACAATTTTTGTTCTACCTTCCTTGAAAATGACCAATTTTTCTGATGAACCACTCTCCAGAAAATCCGAAAAGCGAGAACATATTCTTAATAATGGAAAAAATATTTAATTGTATTTCGAGATGTTGAATTTTTCTATTTGACAAAACGCTGGTACATTAATGTTTATCTTTTTTTAGTTTTCAAAGGCTATACACCAAATTTTACATTACAAGAAGATGATATTCGAGCTATTCAAGCATTATATGGTACATCTTCTTGATATTTAACTTTTTTTTTATATAAAAATAAATTATTTACTCTATAGGAGGGAAACCATCCAAATCATTTTCTTCTCCATTATCGAATAGTATTGAAACTTATCAAGCTGTATCAAAACAAATGGCTCCATCCGTTAAATCATCCAACAAAAACTCTGCTCTATGTCATGATCCTCAATTTGATGCTATTATAACTATTGATGATGATACATATATATTCAAAGGCATATAAAACTAAACTACGTAGAAATCAAAATAAAAAAAGATGCTTTTGTTTTCTTTTGTTATTTTATAGATAAATTCGTTTATCAACGTTCAAAATTATCCAAGGATAATGATTATCCCAAATTGATTCATGATATGTTTGGCCGTTGGGAAGGTGGTATATGGCAAACAATACCTGATCGAATAGATACAGCTTTAACATGGTCTAATCAACAGATATTTTTTTTTAAAGTAAAATATCGTTTTTTTGTTTAATTTTTGTACTTTTTTCGTTTGTTTGTAGGGCAAACATTATTGGAAAACAAATCGTTTTCAATTGCAAGCAGGTTATCCACGTTTAATTAGTGATGGTTTTCGTGGTCTTGATGAACACCATTTTTTTACTGGTCATCTTGATGCTGCTTTTATTTATAGTGGTGATAATCATACATATTTTATTAAAGATGCTATGGTATGGCGTTTAAATAAAAATGTAGAATTTGCTAATTCAATTGATATTGATTATCCTCAATTTGTTTCACGTTGGTTACATATTGGAGAAAAAATAACAAGTGCATTACAATGGATTAATGGTCGAACATATTTTTTTTCTCATAAAACCTATTATCGATATGATCATGTTAAACATCAAGTAAATAAAATGAATTTTAACCAAAAAAAAAAAAAAAAACAATATTTATTTTATTTTTGCTTTTGTTTTCTTTGTGAAAAGATTGATGATTCTTATCCAACATATCCTCGTCCAATATCTGAATGGTGGCTTCAATGTAAACATGGATCATCATCATCGGAAGCAGTAGCAACAGCAGCATATTCTCATTTATCTCGATGGAAACGTGCAGCTATTATATTCGAATCAAATTATACTGGCTTCGAGAATTCGAATCATAATAATGGGCCACGAGAAAAAAAACGAAATTCACTTCTGATAAACATTTTTATATTCGTCATCACATATTACCTGTGATACCCTTATATTATAATTTTATTTTTTGCGTCGTAATTAGATCCGTCTCTTATATATTACTAATGACGAAAAAACATAAGAAAATGTGTTGTTGTTCAGGATCGATTTTTTAAAAAAAATATCATCGATCTTTTTTTTTTCCATGGAAGCGATGAACTGTGACGCAAGTTTTTCTGTACAGAAAAAAAATAAAATTTATTAGTATCTACTTGAATATATGAAAATCTTGTGGTTGTATATCGAATTATAATCGTATGTTTTGCTTATAATTCGAATAGAAGACGTCAATGTATTTTCGATTACTCATACAGTATCAAGGTTGCTTTTTCTACCTCAATGAAACAATGGGCAAACCATTTGTGATTTATTGTCTTTGTTAAAATCGTTAACAATCGCAAAAAAAAATCAAAACTATTGATAATGTCAACAAATGAATTAGTTGTTTTATTTTGCTTTTTTTTCTCTTTTCTCTAGCCTTTACCTGCAATGCGGTGATGTTGTGGCTGACTCTCAGTAGTGGTTACGGATGAATGAACATCGGGTTAACTCTTATAAAGAATGATTAATATATTAGGTGAAGGATGTATGCAAGCGTTGGAGAAAGAAAAAGAAAAAAAAAAAGCCAAAATGAGGTTTTATGGGTATGAATGCACACAACGTATAGATACCCATCAATTAACAGTATAGTTGTAGATATTAACAACCTTGAAAAAAAAAAAGAAAAAAGGGCTACCATGATCGATTTTTTTTCTCTCCTCGAGAATATTCGATTATCCAAGGGGAGTATAAAAAGCAATGTTTACCAATGTATAGACGCTTTTTTTTGAAGCTGGTTAGTTTATAGTATCCTTATTTTTTATTTGTTTTTATTTTCCATCTTAATTAAAATTAATCATGGTAGCCATTGATCGTGTTGGACATGTTTATCCATCAGTTCATCTTCAAGAGATGCTTAATCTTGCTCAAAAACCAGCACCATTAGCAACACCAACACAATATACTAGTACAACATTAAATGATCCAGTTGCTAGTGTAATGAATGGTGATGTAACACAAAAAATTACACCATCACAATTTGGTCTTGCTGATAATCCATCATTACAATTTGCAACACCTGGTGGCGGTTTCGTTCAAGTTTTCGGCCCATTGAAAACACCAGGTAACGATAAATTCTTTCATGATCCCAATCCAGTTGTAATTCAAAAGAAATCAAAACCAGTTACATACGTACAAAAAATTAACTTAGCTTACTATAAACCTCCAGCTCCACCAGCTCCTGGTCCAGTTATCATAAAAGAAGTAAGACTTTGAGAGAAAAAAAAAACGACGACATTTTTTCATATACATACATATATGAATTTTAAAGGTTCGTCCCCCTCAAGCCCCAGTTCCACCACCCCTTTTTGTTCGCATACAACCACCACCACCACCTGAACAAGCACCATTAGTTATTCGTGAAGCTCCACCTCCACGACCAAAACACGTTCCAGTAAGTATCATTTTCTTCTTTTAAATAAAAAAATTGATTTTGAAAAAAAAATTTCTTTTTCAGACGACTTTATTGACCAAAGTATTACCACCTGTTCCTATGCCACCACCCAAAGTGCATGTGCGTAACGCTCCTGATCAAGCAACAGTCGAAAGAACCCTAAAAAACATGGGTCTTACATCAAAATAGACTGAATAATATCAAAAAACAACAGCAAAAAGAACAAAAAAATAAAAACTTCTATTTTCTTTCAATATACGCTTGTGTGATGAGTTTAGATGTGCTATTTTTATATCTAATCTCTTCCTAAATCTTTTCAACGGTGGCTTGTGCGAGTATGCAATCAATCAATATCCTATACATCTATTAATATATCTCTCTGTTTATCCGTCATATTGTATTCTTTTTTTTCCTTAATATCTTTTTGACGCGTGAAATGTGATCTTTTGTGTCATCATTCTAATGTTATCGAATTTTCTGTTTTTGTGTCCTGTGTCGTTCATTAGACAAATGTCGATCGTTGGTCATAAATGATACGGTTGACACGATCAGAAAACTACGATAAACATAAAAAATATAAGAGCGATACACATAAGAACACATTTCGAATAGTCAGTTTTTTTTTTTTTAAAAAATATTCATAAATATTTAAAAAAAAATAAAAAATAAAAAAGAATATATGTGATATTCTTGTAAAAAGAAAACAACACTTCATTTTGAATATTAGTTGACAAAAGAATATGAATGACTTTATTAGTTTTATATGCTGATCAAAATATAATACGATATTTATATTATCTGTTCGTTTTTAAAGTTATTATGCAGTAATTAGCTTTCGTATAAACAAGATTGTCTTGCTATAAATTTGTTCTATTTGATCACACAAAGTATATATAAGCAATTAATACTTGTCGAAGATGCGTAGGTTTGTGTATCAATAATAAACAATGGATGACGTTATCGACTATATGCGCATAGGTGATATGTTATCAGTAAAATATGATTATATGATTACTTACACAAAATAAAAATTTTTATTTTGAAGTAACGATAGAAATGAATAACTCATTTAAGAATAAAATCAGTGATAAATATCAAAGCCTTATGTATATGAGTCATTTTGTTCTGTAAGCAGATAATATAAAACAAGAATGTAAATGTAAACGTCCTTATTGACTGAAAAAAAAAATATAAATGTTTATTATTGATAATCGGTTTTTGAAGTTGAGAAATTTAAAATAAAATATTGTTTTATATCGATTTTTCAAGTAAATATGAGTTGATTCCAATTGTTATTTATAATATTCAATGAAATAGATACAGACGCACATTTATCAAGACGTATTATTTCAATATGTGAATATACGAAACATAAACATATTATAAACGTAATTATATCATTGAAGAAACAAAATATTTCAACCAAAAACATAAGTGCTTGTCAGTAGATGATACTTCAAAAAAGACTTAATGAAATTTTAAGATAATGCATTCTTGAGTAAAATACTGAGAAAATACTAAAAACTGTGTTGTAGAGTTTCTTAATATATGATTTCACAATACAACGTAACTTTTCTTCTCTTGAAAACATAAAATTAGTTACATTTGTCATCATTTGATTATTGTCTTTAGATAACACCGGCTAATACCATGAAGGATTGACTATATCAACAAAAAAATAAAAATCAAACCAATACGTCATTATGAAAAAATTGATTTCAAAGGCAATAACCATTATGGACATATAAAATGAAATACTAACTTTTATCTGAAAAGGTTGCAGCACTCAATCATCAATAAATGTTTCGGATGGATGCTTGATTCGACATCAAGGATATTCTTTTTATCGTGAAACCATAACAAAACAACCACATCCTACACGTAAAGTCGTTTTTCGTTCGTCACAAATTAGTTTTTCTATCTCCATGCATTAATCATTTGTTTTTGTGAGAGAACTTCCTTCATATGTACAATCATTCTTCGGTCAATGCAATTGTCATCTCAACTGGCATTAATGAGCAATTAAAAAGTTATTCGTGGTCTTAACCATTTGTTTCAGCGTATTAACATTACCACTAAGTATTTTTTTTTAAAAGAAGATTCTACTGTTTCCCGACGTTCGTTTTTTGCTAAGAAGGACTTATTAATTACTGATTATAGATTGTTTTTAAAAGTCAAATATTAACACTATTTGACAAAATCATCGATGAGATCAAACTTCTGCCATAGAGAATAATAATATCATTTATTTGTGGTGAAAATATTACATAAATACAATGCTGCAGCTATTATTCAAAAATTAGAGTTGTTATCTTACATTATAATAAAGAAATATTGAAAGTCACTACCTTATAAATTTCGTAAGAGAGATTACAGTTTCATACAATAATCATCAAAATGTTTTGTTATTTACACTAAAGTGTGAATTGTATGCAACGTTCATTTGTCAAGATATGAAAAGTTTTTGACAAATAATCGTTAGTCTCGTCAGAAGACTTATGAAACTACAATTAAGAGAGAATTTTCAACTATCCATTGATATTTATCTACATAACAACTATCTTCACTGAAGAATAATTTCACACTTTAAGAGGTTGCCTAGTTAATATTAGAATTTGATATAAAAACGTTTGTATTGAAAATAAATCGAATTCAATGTGTTGCGTGTGAACAATTGAAAATGTTCATCATGTTATAAAATTAAGCTTCATGAAACCATACTATATCTACATATAGTTACTTGCAAATGATGAACATTTACATTTATTTTCTACACATCAAAATAATCTTCACAAAACTTAGCTTTCATAGTTTTAAATGTGTATGAGTCTTATATAGTCTGTACTCGTTGTTAAGACAATTTATAGTCCAAATATGTCATAGAGCATATAAAATTAAAAAAACTTTGAACTCATTCCAGTGTTCGATGAATTAAATTTAGTCATTCATTTAATGCAGCAAAATGATTCTGCTCGCCATGCCTTCAAACGATTGAAATAGAAACTTGAAAAGAATGATCGACGTATTGATCAGTTATGAGTTGAGATAAAACAATAGTTGAAAATTGAAATTATTTTGAAAATAGACACAGTGATGGAAATACTTGAAATAATAAATCCAATAGGAAAAGAAATGAACAATGACGGCAACAATTGTTTCAAACAAATTGAAAACATGAAGCAAAACATTGAGTAAAGTCGAAATCGATGCAAGCAATTCGAACTCATTGATTCCTTATGTTTGGATGAAATAAAGTCCGAAAAAAGCCGCATCGATTACTGAAAAGTCACAAGAAGAAAAAATATTCAACAATAACCAGGGAGATATAGATTAAGAAAGTAGTAGGAATTATTCCACATAATATTTCATCAATGAAATACCCAATAAGGGACGTTTAGATACTGATTTGGGATAATTCTAACTATGGTTCAGTATTTTGCAGCTATGAATGTAAATGCTACCAATAATAGTCATACGAAGACAAATAGCTACTTGAAATTTCATGATTTATAAAATGCATACAACAAATCGAAATGCAATAACTTTTACCAATAATACAGGCTTTCATAGTACATGACGTTAAAGTCTCTGGATTGATGCAAACCTGAGAACTTTATTTATGTTTATTTGTGGAAAAAATATTAGATATCTTATACAATGTGTTGAAATATCATCAGCAATCACCTATGATTCACCTATACATTTGCTTTTATAAGTCCAATCATGACACGAGAATGTTTCAAATCTAAGCGAAATTGTTTTGTTTGATGCAATCGCGCTTTTGAGATAAATCAAATCATTACGGTTTCCTTTCATAATGCAAAACTTCAATTATAGTCTTCTACGCTCGTGACTATGTTACATCAATGAAATCAACCAAATGAGAACATCGTGAGTCCCTATAACATGTGAAAATGTTTAACTTATCCAGGAAAAGTATAAGTATCTTTGTTACTTGAAAAAAAAGTTTTAAATTTCCAGTAGATGACGCCTCAGAGCAGTACGGTACTTTTACATGAATGGCATTGTTTTTCGATCAATGAGGTTGAAGAATCGAAAAGATCATCAAAATATCTTTTTTGTGCCTTTCAACTTGGAAGAGACCTTCTAGAATATATGATGAATTCTTCCATAGTGTGAAATATGAATCTATTTAAGTCAGATATATCGTTATCTATGTTTAATTATATTCTATATTGATTTATCGATTCATAAATAGATTTTTATATTTAGATATTAATCTTGAATCAACTTCATGAAAATTCAAATATCGTCTTATGTCATATGATTCGTTTTATAATCAATAAAAATGTACAATGCATGCTTATTTCGTAGAAGAAGATACTTTCTAAAATTAGTTTTCATTTAGTTTGTTACATAAAAGCATAAAAACTTTAGGAGTTGAATTTTAGAATTTTATAAAAAGAAGTGTCAGATCAGTAGCGGTATCCAAAGTATGTTCAGCTTCAGCATATAAATGTGACGCTAATTCTCTACATCTAAACAACAATAAGCATGCTTATCTGTAAGATCCTCTGGAATATATTTAATTTAAAATGAGAAATTTCTTTTTAAGTTCGATCAAATAATTTCTGTCATGAATTATCTTCAACAATTGGATATAACTCATCTTTCTCGATCATTTATGGAATAATACGAACAATGACATGCAGAAAGTGAAGAGAAGTAATGCTAAATTTAATGACAGAAACAAGAAAATACAGAACAAAATTGTTCAATCAAAATCAAATCTAGAAAAATCGAGTTGAAAGCAACTTGACCAGTTTACTACGGGATAAAATTGATTAAAAAGGCCCTTCATATCAACAAGTTGCCAAATAAATGAAGCCATTTGAAATGCGCTATTAAATTTTCAAGATGACAATTTTTTTTCGAAATAAAACTCTGTGAAATTGATTCATCATTTTTTTAGTGAGAAAAACGAGACAATTTAGTTGTTTCATAGATAGCGATCTCTTTTCAGGACTCGAATATTCAACCCAACTGAATAAAACAATTCGTATCAAAGAACACCATTGATAAATAATATATGAGACGACCTTTAATAGTATTTCAAACTGAAGATTTTCATAATTGTTCAGCCTAAAACATATTCAATGAAATTAAGAATTCCAACAGTTGCAATCGTTCAGAGTGATGTGTACGATCCAACATTTTAAGAAGGTTTTCATCTACATCTTCTGAAATGAGAGTGAAACGATCAATGATAGTTTTCTTTCTCAAGTTTTCTGGTTTCATATATGAGCAAGTTAGATAAAAGATCATTTACTTTCACCAATACGTATCAAATTTAAACATTTGATATCGATTTATAGTAACTAACAAGATTTTATCAGTTTCACTGAGATTTTTCATTGAACAAGGGATATTGTACTTGTTCTTTGAAGTTTCTGTGATAATGCATTACCTTGTAAACAATCATCTTCTTTAATTTTAGATATCTCTGAAAATTAAAATGGCTTCTTCGAAATGTTCTATCGATGGATGTAAACGCAATTCTGATGCTCTATGCGATCATTGTAAAAGTCAACTCTGTACTAAGCATTTTATTGAACATGTGAAACTTGTAAACAATGAACTCCCTGCTCTTTCCGATGAGATCAATTCAATCGTCGATAAACTACAACAGCGTGATCTTACTCGTTATGTTTTCGAGCAAATTGAGCAATGGAGAGAGGAAAGTCATCGACGTATTGACGAAATATGTGATGAGAAAAAACAACAGTTAAAAATTGAAATAGATCAAAACATAAATAATCACATGAAGAAACTTCGTGAACTAGGTCAAGAAGTGAAAGAATTGATCGATGAAGGAGATGCTTCATTTAAACAAATTGAAAATATTAAGAACAGTATTGAAAAATGTGGAGAACAGTGTAAACAATTCGAAATATCAGATTATTTTCGTTTGAACTTTAAAGCAGTCAATTTCGAAATCACATTATTGCATCATGAATTATTTACAGGTGGTGGCACACTTTTATCAGTTGAACATCAATTGAAATTGAATGAATTCTATGGTATAGAAGGACAAAAATGGACATTAGTTTACAAAGCAACACGAGATGGCTTTTCTGGTTCTGATTTTCATCGATGTTGTGATAATCAAGGTCCAACAATAACTGTTATTCGATCGACAGAAGGTGGTTATCTATTTGGTGGATATACATCTGTTTCTTGGAATCCAGTAGAAAGTTATGTTCATGACTGTAATGATCCATGTTTGTTCACATTAATTAATCCACATGAAATTTCTCCAACTAAGTATTCAGTACAAGTTCCAGTCTATTCTATCTATGCCGGTACAAACTATGGTCCAACATTTGGCGGTGGTCACGATTTGTATGTTAGTAATAATAGTCAAACAAACAGAGACAACTACTTTAATTTTCCTCATTCGTATACCGATACAACAGATCGAGGTGCAGTGACTTTTACTGGTGAAAAAAACTTTCAACCAAGCGATATCGAAGTGTATCGACTAATGCAAGCATAGAAACACTATTCTTCATGCTTTTTGAAAAAGAAGAGGCTTTTGGCTACTATTCTTTTAATAAAGGTGTTTAGATACGTTCACGTTTCTCTTGCAATTGTATACATTGTAATGGTTTGATATAAAGAAGAGTTATATCGAAAAAGAAACCTTGAGAAGACAACGTTGCATCTTTCTTTTGTTGCTTTCATGTTCATGTAAATAAAAAATTTCAAATATTTTGCTCTTTATTCATGTATTTTCAGAAAAGAACATATTTAAGAAGAAAATTATTTTGTATAACAAAGTTTTTCATACATTCTCTCCCTTCTGCGAATTTCAAAATGGATTAAAAAGAGAAAAGGCTTGCGAACAAATTACCGTAATCTAATAGATTGATTTTATTCATCTCTAAATAGGGTGTGGGTGTGGGTATGTTGATATTTAAACAAAGACATCCACATCCACATCCACACCGTCACCCATACTCACACCCACACCCCTTTTCAAGTAAATTTAATGTAATAAATGAATAAACAATTTTTTACATATTATATTAGATAAATAACTATCAATAAATATAGTTAAATTACTCTTACAAGAACATTATCAAAAACTTCAAATAGCGTTTACATAGAACTTTTTTCTATTTTTCAAACTGTTTCATTGAAATCGAAAGAAAAAATCTACTTTTATCTCACCAAGCTAATATATTTGTATTCATAACGAACTTTTTCTATAATATTCCAAGAGAGAAAAAGCGGCTTCTGATGGATCCTGGTGGCTTCTAGATGCTGCCAGTAGCCTTCAGAATCCGTAGAATTTCCCAGAAGCCAAGGATTCCAGGAGCTGCTTTCACTCCTTGTAATATTCACTAGTTTTTTAGACTTTCTAGTTGAACGATCAAAGTGAAAGCGTCAAGTCAATAATGGCAATGTCAAAAATCTAAATCCTTTCTGGTCCGAACTTTTCTCCATCATCCTCACTTAAGTCTTGTGTTAGAAATTTTAACGGTTAATAATATACTACAATCGTTATCAAATTTTGCGTTTTAGAACAATTACTCAAAATACAGTACATTACATCGAAACGAATCTTGCAGAAAATTGATATGCATTTCCTATAGAATATGCGTCTTACATAATCCGTTTATTCAAGAAAATGTCGCGTCTTGCCATACCTATGATATTTTATCAAAGATTTTTCAAGTCATTATCTATTAGGCAAGTCGTATTAACGAGTAAATTGAACTATTTTGTTGTCCACACGATGCTCCTTGGAGAAAAAAATTCACCTGAACTTTCTGAAAAGGCTAAATGAGTGTTGGTTATTACGTGTCAGTTTCATTGAATCAAGGTTGATGGATTTGACGGTGGTCCTTAGTTTATTTCCAAGAATGGTTAAAGTGACATGAATTGTTCGGATATTGAGAAGTACCGATGTTCGAATGTCGATGAAATCGATAATTAAAAACCGGTAAAAGTCAGTTCGTTAATTTACTTTAATAAAACGATGAATTATGATCGTCTTCAAAATGGCGCAGTTTGATACAGTTTTTAAAAACGAAATAAATATTGTGATTATCGTCATCAACAATATAGTCCATAGAGAAAAAAATCATTAAAAAGGAAAGATTTTGATTGAGACGATTTAGTTGAACAAGATCAGAAACACGAATATAAGTTATAGACAAGTCAATATCAGCTTATATTCTTCTAATAATATAACGCATATTATTATCGTCTAGATTTTGTTTAAGATAAATACGATTCAATTAATATATTATTGATCGATAAGATTTTGAACAAATCAAATGATTTGTCTTAGACGTTTTTCTAAAAGATCAATGCTTATCTTGAGTACAACTAAAAAACAAAACAAGTTTTTACTAGTATATAAAGATTTTGACGATATTATCGATACAGCATTTCATATACAAGGTTATGGACAATGTGAACATATTTGAAAAAAGTAAATATCATTGTCAAGTTGACGCTGATTATATTAAAAATTTCTTTTTAATGATTCGTTTTGTCTAATAGGAAAATTCTCTGAATAATTAGAAATAGTCTTATTTCATCATAATATGTTTTTAGGGTACGAGTTAACATTTTTCATAGAAAAATTCGATTCTTATTTTGAATTGATATATTGATGATAAAAATAGTCTGTTTATAAAGTTGTTTCCTTATTTGTGTTAAAAAGACAATAGACGTTTAATAAGTTGAAATCGACTGATAAACAATTATCCTCGATTATTTTCATCTATAATTAAAATGATAAAATTTATATTGAAAAAAAAATGAAACGTTATTATTAATATGTTTATTCGAAAAAAATATTCTATAATAAATGATGCTTCATTTACTAATAAAAGAGATTTCGAATTAAAATGCTAAAATAATAAATATGGCAGGATTAAATAAGGAGACAAACAAAGTCAAAACACCAATTTAATGTTCAAGAANTTAGGAAATACCAAAATTAGGGACAATGACACCTAAATACCGTATAGTAAGCTTCAACAAACTTTCTTACTATAGAATCTTATAGAGAAAAGAATACTCTTTTTTTCTATACTATTTGATCATACTTCAACTAATATCATAATAATAAACTCTCGATAAGATTTGTCTCGCTATGATATGTGCCCCGTAGTACTATTGCCTATGTGATGTTTTTTGAATCATTTTTGATAGAAACAAGATAGAGAGCTGCGGTTCTCATCTTTCGAAAGAGGAGATAAAGATGTATCAAATCATATATTATACGTTTCCCTAGCGTAGGGTCTCATGTTTGTTTAATTAGTTTTACAAATATGGGAAAATGGTTTATTATCAAAAAGGAAGCAGCAAAAAATTCTTTTATAGAAATCTCCAGAAAAATCACTTCAAACTTTGACTAGGATGCCTATTACTTCTGAATGATTAATTCTAAACATCATGCAGTCTTGTAGTTCTTCCATAGGCGGTTTCAATACAGACCTGACATTTGAGAATTGACTATAAACACCTCACGAGTAGGTTTGTTTTCAGAGAGGTTGATTGAAAACCTGTAATATATATCTCGATACATCTTCATCTCTTCTTTCAAGCAATAAAAACTGCAGCTCTCTATCTTGTGTCTATCAAAAGTTATTCAAAAAATATTCACTATATAGGCACTAGTACTACCAAACACATATCATAGCGAAATAAATCTTATTATAATATTAATTGAAGTATGATCAAATAGCATAAAAATATAGAACACTATTTTCTCTATCAGAATATATAGAAAGAAAGTTTCTTAAAGCTTATTATACGGTATTAAAGTATTACTTTTGAAAAAATTGTTATATTTGTATATGGATATAAGAAATAACAATAAAAATAAACAAATATTTATTTCAAATTAAATTATCGCTTTAGTGAACCAATGCCATCAAGGTCGAACAAACACGCTCGTAGACGATAGTATTTCTCTGTATGATATACAGAGAAATACAATCGCTTACGAACATAAATGTTGTCTTTTACGCAATTCGTATAGTTTGTACTGGATAATAATAAAACAAGAAACTTTTTTGTATTACAAAAATAGATATACTACAAAAAAATAAATCAATAATCAAAGTAAGTTTTGAAATATATTCAAAAATATAACGAAAACTCTGCGTATCTGTTAAATGGTAATAAAATATATTGTCAAGGAGAAAAGAAAAAAAAACAAATCTACCGTCAAGTATGTAGCACAAGAAACGAATAGACAACAAGCGAAATATCAATAATGGAATTAAATTCGAGATCATATTGCCAAAGATACATAATACCAAAAATAAACATTGAGTAACTAACGAAAGAATATTTTATATTTTATTCAATATTTAATATCAAGAATTCAATATGTAATATCAAGAAAAATTTTTATCAAGTACCACTCCACATTCTTTAACATCACCAATAAATTGTTTTATTGATGGTTGTCTCCATCCACCAAATGATCGATAATCACGAAATGATCGATCATCATCATAATGAGCATACCATAAAGGAGAGTCCAATGAAAATTTTGTGGTATCATTCATGATTGAAATCCATTGATATCTTGATGTATAAATTCCAAATTTAATATCTAAAGTAATTATTTGTTTGATTAATTCATCAACAAATTGAATATTTATATCTGTATCATTATCCCATTTTCCTTCAATATCGAACCAAAGTCTATCTATTTGAGCTTCTTCTTCTCTTAAATAATCAATAGTTTCAATAACCTAAAGAAAATGATATTAAAAAAGAAACAAGAACTATAATTTAATTCTCATTTATCATCTTACTTGTTGAGGTGCATCACCACATGAAAAACATGGAAACAAATAAGCATCAACATTATTTAATCCAGCAGCTCGAGCATTTTTTATTGTTTGCGCACTATTTAAATCAATAACTCCAACACTTCGATAAGCACGAACAATAACAAATTTATATCCATTATCTATTTTAGTAAATCTGAACATCATACAAAAACAATTCTTTATCATAACAAACCTTTTAAACATTCAAATTGTTCTTGTGAAACGCTTTGAGTTACATCCACACCTAATGTTGCTAATATTGTTGGAACTATCGATATTAAGATGATTTGTATAAACATCGATAAATAAAAAGTAACACTAAAGATTATAAATCAAATTTACTTCATTCACTATGTACTCGACAGTATAAGTAATGATCTGTTGTTTCTTTCCTTTGGTAATTAATTTTATTGGTTCTCCGTCTTTTTCTCACGTTGCCATATTTGCAGCTCCCATGACTACTTAAAAACCTTTATATCGTCGACAGAAAAAAAAGAAGTCGCATTTTAAATATAGTGACACGTTTTTCGTTCGACCGCTAATCTTTGCGCAGTTTTTCGTTTACTAGGCAGCACATCAATTTATGAAAATCTAACCTATCCTGTCATGTTTATGCCTGAAGAAATATCGTATAAAATACAGTAATCATTCCCTGATGAGTTATTCATGCGATGAATGAATGTATGTACTACTTTGATAACCAACTGAGCGTATATAGATCGCGACATAGAAAAAGAACAAAATATACATTTGAATAAATATCTTTCAACAAAAAAATATATTATTTAATGTAGTAAAAATTATCGAGTTGTGATGTCATGAATGGAATATGATACTATCAATGAGATCTGTATTGTGAAATATTTAAAGAATTTTTGTTTTTACTAATAAAGGATTAATTTAATATAATGTTTTATTCGTTTTGGTAAATTTTAATGTTTTCTCTCTCTAGTCATATTCGAGTGAAGCGATAAAACAAACTAAGGTAAATTCAGGTAGATCCGAAGAGTTATTTTTCTACTTCAAGGTTTGTTAGTTCTCGAATAATTAACACTAATAATAACATGAAATATTATTTTACAATCGTACATGTACTTTTTTTTAGAGTTTTATCGCTTGTGAAATTTATGCAGAAAAGAAAAAAATCGAACTTAAATATTAATATTGCACTGGAAGGTTTAATATAATCTAGCTAGTGTGTGATACAATCCAAATCCTTTCGATAAACATCTTAAAAAGGTTATTATTTATTTTTTCCATAAAAGGGCCATAAAATCGATAATGAAAGAGCCTTTTAGAAAACAAAACAGTTGATCGTAAAAATATAAATTTTTTAATGACACTATCTGGCGTGTACCCAGCAAAATACTACATGATAATCAACACGATTTCGACTATTAATTTATCAAGATAAAGCAGTAATTTTTATACATTCTCGGTTCATAGATTTTCTTCAAAGGCAAGTATCATAAATGATGAAATTCATTCTTATGTATTATACAACTCAATGTGGAATTCATTCAAGTAGCATTTTTCCAATTCAGGACTATGTCCTTGAAACCAAAGTAGTTTTATTTATGAAATAGTTTATTCGCAAAAATTGTTGGTTGTATTTTCATACATAGAAAGTATAATTATAGTGTTTGTGCACTCCGTATTCTTCCTTCGTGTACTTTGGATGCAGCTTGTGCATATTAGTCTGCATGTGTAAATCATATTTATCAAATAAAATATTTCCTGATTTCACCAAAAAATATACAGATTAATGCATCGACTCGAATGAAAGTTGATAAATGAAGGAAAATATACACTGAGACACGATGTCAATAAGACAATATTCAATGAAATCTGAACTTTCATATAATTTTTTGTTTTTCGACGAAATTGGCTCTAAAAGCACGATGTTTACATTTGAATAAAAGTGGCTGCATAGTCATCAACGATGGATTATGGTCCTCAAAATAGCGACAAATTAACATTGACTTTTATCATTCATGAGAAAAATTCGGCAATATTATAGACAAAATCCAGTTCTATCAAAATGTAACTGTCACCACTTCAATATTTTCTGTTATTTTTTTATCCATTTATTGATAGTGACAGTGTTACTGATCACACGTTTGTGGAAAGGATACCACGACTATTACACGAGTTTTTTTTTTATCTGCTCGCGATTCTATTGTTGTTTCATGACAAAATGTATCGATTAAAAATAGCACTACATTTAACAGCTGCAATGTGTTTCGTATGAAAATTCATTATACTTGTGTCATTTCTGTCCTAGTCTAATTATAGATAACTGTCAATGAATTATTGAGATAAGACTCAAAAAAAGTTTTAAATTCAATCCCCAACAATTGCACGCAAACACATTACTATGTCGAATATATTTAATTTGTTTGCATTAAATTCAATATAAATTCTTCGTAACCTAGACAAATCACTTTCATCATCCAGAACAGCAATGACTTTTGTGACGAATACGCGTCTTACTGCCGAATACATCTCAATAGAACCTTTAAATTGATAGAAAAAGTAGTATAAATATATGAATTGAGCTCTTAGATTACTAAAGAAAACAGAATGAAATACAGTTCAATCGCGAAGAAGCATTCGAATATGATCAAGCTAGCAAGAGTAAAGTAGATGATGAAGATTCATTTACTATAAATCATCCAAGAGGGTTCAATGATAGTTTTAAGATAGTATTTTTAATTTAGTGTAAAGACAGCAGTTGGAAAAATTGTCATTTCTACTGAAATGTAAACGATGATCACAACAGATTTTGTTTAGAATAGTCCTTTTTTCGTTTGATTGTGTATCGTCAACGATTGTTATCACAGTATCGATTTTCGAGTCGTTAACTATCGTTTAGAAGCTGTTTTAGAGTATACGAAAATTTTATATTAACTCCTTAGATTGAAAAGATCATAAAGTAGTGAAAGCTGAACGGTAATAGATTCGACCATTGATATGCCGTTATTTGACAATGTAATTATATGACTTCAATTATTTATTCTTCATGACTTTTTTGGATTTTTCCTGTCAATACTGTAGGACACTTTTTAATGTTTCTATGTTGTTGTTGTCAATTATTAGATTCTCAGATTTTGTTATCAACCGAGTTTGCACTGAGAAAGAAATCAGATCCAATTAATAAAAATCTATGTTTCACGTAGAAATAGGTAGAAGATATGAATTCATAGAAAATCGCAGAATACTTGCTGGAAGTTTTTCCGTGTTATATTCCTTCATTTAAAGAAATGATTTAGATCAGAACAACTACTATGATAATATACAATGCCGTTATTATTGGTGTATCACTTTTCTATAATTTATAAACTGCAAAAACCATCAACCAGTGATGATGATTCTGTCAGTAATTAGACAGATATCAAAATTACAAGGTCATAGACAGAGCTGATATGAGAATGTTTTTAATTAAGAATGAACAAATTTTGTCACAAAAATCTATATCATTATGAAAGAAATTAAAAACAAAAGGACAATAATAATTGAATCGATCACATCATTAGCTAGAACATTTCCATAGTATAATATCAGTGTATTTTCTATATTCTCATTCAAATGATTATATTAAACAAGAATAGGACTATGAAGTCAATAACAAATATATATTGAAATATTTAAGTATATTCAACTCGTCCTTTCAACGGTTGATGTATTTGTTTTCTTTTCTCATTACGTGTGGTTTAAGTAATGGCTAACAAATGTTACATGAAATTACAAAGCGCGAATAGATTGTGTTTAAGAAAAAAAAACATAAATCTCTTTGTATCTATTTTATTGGAAAGATTTAATTAACTTTTACATGATATAAGATTTTTATTTTTAACATAAATTATAGTTATAAGTAATAAGTTGGTCCTAATGAAAAAAAAAACAATATCTACGAATATTCAAATATCATCATATGTTAATGAATATTAGCCGCCTTATTTGTTGCTAGTTAATGGCATCTGGTTACCATTTGACTGTTAAAAAGTATCTCGATGAAAATCGAATTGGTTCTACATTACCAGAACATATTCGACGAGGATGGGATCGTATGTATATTTTCTTTTTAGTTATTAATATATACATGAATAATATATTCTTAGGAATCTATACAGTCGAAGAACAACAATTCAATATGCGATCATGTATAATAGGAGCCGATGTTCAAATTCCAAATTCAATTGTTCGTCAACGTCTAGGTACAACACAAATCTTAATGAAAACCAATATTGAAATTTTACGCAAAGCATTTGAATTACCTGATGAATTATTTATGAGTTTATCTAATGAACATAAATTATTCGACATGATAGAAGACGATCAACTTAGTTTTGAATGGAATGATGAAGATAATAATGAAATAAAACATAAAAAATCACCAATTAGTATAATCCTTAATAAACAACGTGAAAAAAGACGTAAATATGAAGATTATAAATATGATTATGATAATATTGAACCATTATCACTTAATGATATAATTGAAGAAATTCATACAAATGTTGGACAAAATTTAAACAATGAAGATTTAAAATTAATAACAGATTTAATGCAAATAATAAGTCGACATAACAAAAATCAAATTATACATGTTTATGATGAATTAACTAATGTTCAATTGATTAGTAAATTTGGTGGTATTCCTAAACTTGTACAGGTTATAAAATTGAAACATTCAAGAAAAATTTCATTAATAAAATACATAACAGATGACCCATAAAAAACGAGAGTTTTCGTCTTTTTTCAATACCATCTTTATTTTCATAGATTCGACGCTGAACTTTTTCTCAAAAGACTCAATGCTTAATTCTCTACAAAACCATATACAAATGAGTATCATAAAGATAAAAGCAAGGCAAATAGTTATTATAATAATACTGTAGGCATACAACATCAATAAATTCCAAGCACACAAAATAATATTGTCATGTATTTATGTTTTTTCATGTCGAACTATATAGACAAAATCTACAATCCGTTTTGTAGACCTACAAATGATCTATCTTATCAGTATATTAAAGAGTTTTCATAACAAAGCATCATGGCATAAAATAAGTGTTACTTCTTTTTGTCAAATTAAAACAAAACGTTTTTTTTTTATTTGAAATAAATAATGTTTATTTAGATCTTATTTTATGCAATAAGGATTCATTATGAAAATTCTTGAAGATACAAATAAGATAGACCTTTAGAAGCTTGACAAAATGGATTGTACAACTTGTCCATATAGTTCGACATGAAAACCAAGAAGGAAACGACATCTTTGAGTGTTTCGCGAAACATAAGAAATACGAGTGTATAGTTTTATAATTAAGAAAAATCGAGATCTAAACCCAAGATGATATCAATATACTCTCGTACCTCGCGCAATCTCATACTCCTACTGTACTCTTGAATTCCAAGGTGTAGCGGAGTATGTTGTTTCTCCTTGCATGAATACACCAATTATAAAACAACTGTATTTTGTGTATTTTCAAGTTGTTGATGTTACATGTCTGCAGTATGTTTTGTAAAGAATTAAATGCTAAACCTTTTGAAAAAAAAAAGTTCAGTCCAAATCTATGAAAATTAGAGAAGATATTGAGAAAATACGAAGACGGGTATTTTTAATGAACCATTCGATAGTATTTTCTCTTGCAGGCTTTACAAGAAATTCAAAAAGCATTTGAACAAGTAGCTATGAAAACTAATCTGGCTTCGATTGAAACTGTCATTGACGTGTTACTTGAAAAAGATAATACATATCGTTTAGCAAGGGAACTATTAAAATCATTTAATGAAAACATTAAAAAAACTAAACAACAACAAATATTGAAATTAGAAGATAAGTCTGGTAAACACTTTACATCAATAGAAATAAACAATAGAATTGAGTTCAGCAAATCTCAAACAGGAACAACAAAAAAAGATTAATATCCACCGTTTTCTCGTTGAATAAAATCCTAATATTACATTTTGCTTTTGTTTTTGATAGGCGATATATCTGATCATGATCAAACTGTATTTAATATTTTAATGAAAGATCGTATCAGTCGATTACGTAAGTTGACTATTTGCTTATTATTTATTTTTATATTAATTCTTTTTTTTCTTTTCTTCTAGCTGCATCGGAATTGACTGTGTTAATTCATAATCTTGAAACAATTCAAAATATTGATGCAAGTAAAGTAAGTAATGATTATGATGATCAAGTAAACTTTATATCCGAACAATTGAATATTATTTTTACACGTGCACATCTCAATGGAATTAAAACAGTTTTTCATACAATGAAAACATCTATTGGTGTTTCATTAAAAGATTTTATTGATAAAATTGAAACTAGTCTAACAACTAAATTAACTGAACATGATAGTATTATTATTGAATCATATATTCATGATTATCTTACATCATTAGTAAGTGAAAATAATTTTAAAATTAAAAAATAAAACACAAAAAAGGAAAGAAATAATTCTCTCATTGATTAAATGATTGTTTTTGTTTTCTTTAGACTAATAATGAATTAAAAATAGTCCATGAACGTTTAGCACAACAAGGTACTCTTAAACGTATTGCAATAACTGGTGAATTAAATCAAACAATAACACTGAGTTTAATGAAAAAGATTGATACAAATGGACTAGGTGCAGTCATTGAATATATAAATGATATTCAACTAGATAATAACTCATTAAAAGAACTTAAAGAAGAATTAATGAATATAAATAATTATATTCAAATACAATCATCTATTTCACTTGAACAAATTCAAAATCAATTAGGTTTTATTTTTTTATCATTATTTAATGATCTTTATTTCTTCTATAGGTATGGCATACTTTGTCGAAACACGTAATCTTAGTAAAATTGATATTCATGAATTATCTAAAGCAGCTGATTTATATTCTATTGTTCATATAAATCTTGCTGAAGAGGCAAATAATGATGAATGTTTGACATTTCTTGAACATTTGAAAGCTCCATTTATACGTATATGTATTCAACGAATTTTAAATCTAATTAAACAAGATAATACGATTAATTTGACTAAAGTATCAAATAAATTTTATAATGAACGTATTATTGATCTACTCAATGAATTAATTTATGGATCTGATGAATTTAATCGAAATTTATTTTTTCATCAAATTAAAAAATATTTAAAAAAAAATAAAGATTTACCAGATAAACTCTATCGACAAATGTTAAAAGAAAAATTAATTCATATTGATACTAAAATTAAAATAGATACAGATAAAAAGAAAATTTCAACAATTATCAACGAAATAAATCAAATTTTAATCAATGTTGATGATCGAATAAAACAAGAACAATTAGTAGACTTATTTGATAGAATAGATATGTAAGTATACTTGTCGTAAAAATTTCTGCGACTACCAGGTAAAAAGTATATAAACTATAAAATTTTAATCACATAGCTTAACTGCAAGGATCAATCGACCTTCATGAAAGTTAACTTATTTAAAAAAGTGAAACACCAGAAAAATATCGAAAGATCTTTTTTCGTAAATTCTTTCCAAAAAACGCCTATTGACTTTGGTTTGCCGAGCTCTATTTGTCAGTCAAAATATTAGACAAAGTGATTGAAGTTTATGCACCTTTTACTCGGTAGTGAAGCTTCTTACAACCACTGTAAATGACGAATATTTGGACAGACAAGCAATTATAAAAGAAGATTAGTAAATAGTTTATAATCTATTTTTATGGATAGAACTCTTCCTGAACGTATCAAACGTTGGTATAAGACCAAGTCAAATATCCAAAAATTGCAATTTTCTGCATCTAACATTCAGAAAAACATGATCGATGGAAAAAATAGTATCAAAACAAAAACAAATATCCTTAATTCAAAAACTAAACCTGTTACACTAAGTTCAACTCCTTCAACACATCGTACTATTCATAAATCAATCAATTCACTAAGAAATACTTTAAAAGAACGAACAACACAAGACATCAAAGATCAATTGCCAACAACTACGACTATAACCTCCACGAAGCATACTCGTGAACAAAAAAGATCTTTGATAAAATCTGAACCAAAGTTTCAATCAAAAGTACATATAACAAAAAAGCATTCCAAAATTCTTGATAATACCAAAAAAACTAGCAAGATGTCTATTGATAAAGATGAAAAAGAAGAATTGAAAATCAATTCTGAAATTCCATTGGCATCAAAATCAGAAGGACAACAACAAAGCACTTCAGATATTCCTCATGATCAACCAATCTTATTACCGACAATAACGACAGATACAATTAATATAGTTAATATTTCAGAACCTCGAACTGAAAGTGAGAAGTTCTATGATTAAAATATGTTATAATTAATTAAAGTTCATTAACTTCTTATCTATAGGTGATCTCATTGAACCCAACCAATTATCGTTTACATTGTCACAAATCACAAAAGTAGTCTTTTAATTGATTTTTCTAACGAGGAAGTCCTCCAATTGATTCATTACTTTTTCGTCAGGACTATGTGTATCGTATAGATTCGAATAAACTATAAATATCCTGAAAAGAATTTGAGTATGGAACAAATTAAAAGATCTAAAGCTTTCATCATAAACTATTCTTATTAAGATCTATCACTGTATAAAATTGCCAATCGAAATTTGAAAATTCGTGTTCCCAATGTTTCTGATTGGATACCACGACATTAACTTGACAAACATTACAAAAGTTCAATATCTTCATAGCAATAAGCTAAGAACTTGAATACTTCTGAGAGTATTTATCGCTCATGAGAGTCTACATAATGCACATGGTTCTTACTCGAAAGTGATGAAGCAACTGAAAGATTTCCTTCATGAGCAAAAAATGATGAGAATAAACTGCAGTTTAAATTGATTATGTAGGAAACAATTGAACACACCAACTCTCTTGTATCCAAACAAGAAAAAAGTCAAGAAATAGACAATCAACAATTTTTTGATCATCAACAATCAAATACAATAAATACGACTATTGAGTTTAAATCATCACATAATACATCGATAAGTGATACAATTTTAAACAACATGCAAACAATAACATCTACTGATAATGAACAGAATACAAATGTAAAATTTGATATGGAAATCAAAGCCAAAGAAATATCTGATCTGTCACAAAAAATAGACGAATTGCATGAAGAAAATTTTGAAAAAAACGATACATCATTGTCTCTGAAAAGTATCGAAACATTTCAAGGTGATCTTGAAATTATTCGATCTGAAACCACTTCTAGTGGTAAGTTGAATAATTTTGATTTAATACTAATATTCATAATTATTCATATAGGTAAAATGAATGAAAATAAAACTCTCAATTTTGAATTAAATTCAGGTGTGGCTCTTCTTTTCTATCATTCACCTATATCAAATGAATCAAAACAAGAAATAAATACAATTCTAAGTGGTAAAACAGCAGAATTTTCAAATGATTCACAATATGTAAAAACCAAAGCACAACGATTATTTGCTAAAACAACACCTACAAATATTGTTCGTCAGCCGACTGAGGAAGATACTATTGGTAGAAGTTCATCATCGTCAAATCTTACAACTAGTAATGCAGAAACTATTTCCGTAAGTACAATAATACTCTTGAGAGTGTCATTTAAAAAGAAAAGGTCTTCTAGAACATAATTATTTTTCAATTTCTGTCTATGACATAGGCTGTTACTGAAACTCGAAAATTGTCTGATCCATCAAATGGACCATCTGACGAATCATCAATACCTATTTCAACACTTCCATCTGATAATATTAAATCACCTGCTAAAACTTTTCATCGTAATCTTCCAAAATCACTAAAAAAAATTGAAGATATTTATATTAATTCTTTAACAAAAGCCTTACGAAACTTATTTGCTCGTTCAGAATATCATAATACGAAACTACAAAAGATTCATGAAGAACTTATTTCATCAGGTCATATATCACCATTAAATGAATTTTATCGTTCAACAAATGAAGCCTTACGTGTAACACTTGATCATTGTAGTACTTATGCTGATTTAATCAAATGGACTTTATCATTATTACAAACAAATAATAAACCAAATTTAATTGATTTTGGTCATGATCTTTATTTGATTGCAATTGATTTAGATTTTGCATTAATTGAACGTATTGATAATGCACGATGTGCAATTGATATAAAAGAAAATCTCAAACATGAATTACAAACAATCACCGAAACTGATTTACGAGGTATATAATAAGTAAACTTTTTTATAAATAGTTATTTTATATATATATACTTTTTAAAGAAATTAATTCTTATTTAAATGCTTCTCAATTGGATAAACTAGTTTATCTGTCAAAAAAACTAAATGTTATTTCAAAAGATCGTATGATATCAGATCTTAATTTATTACTTTTGCATCTTATTCAAGTTTATCATACATTCGAACTTAAATATCGTCCAATGCAAACACGTATTCGTGTATGTTGATTTTCAATAATCAAAACCAGATCTTTTCGATATATATGTTAGCATCCAATCCCGGATATCAGCTACATGATGTCTAATCGGAGATTGACCTAACAAGTTTTAGGTGAATCGAAAGTTTAATATGATCAATCTTCTATTGACAAACATATTGCATGAAAGCAAAAGTTATCTATGGCAATCACATTCTGTTTTCAACAAAATCGAATATCTAATCACCAGCAAATAAAACAAAAAAGATCAACGAATGGTGTAGGTGTATTTGCTCTCCTCGCTCCACTTCCTTATCGAAATCATTCGTTGATTTTTTTTTTGTTTTATTTGCTTATGATTAGATATTCGATTTTGTGGAAAATAAAATTTCACGTGTCATGATTAATGTTTGCTGTAATGTAATAGGTTAGTTAATTTGAGATTGACTTAGATCAATCTGAAATTCACCTAAGTTAATATCCGTTCCATGTCAAATTCCATATGAGATACAAACATATATATTATTTTTCTATTTTATTTTTTGTTTGTAGGAAATAGCCGAAAGATTTAAATCTCGAGCTGTTGCTGATCTCGTACGTAAACTAGATGAAATTGAAAAACGTTTAGCAAAAAATTTTTCAATAACATTCTATGGTCTTAGTAAACGTATGAACGAAGCTCGATTCATATTAGTGAAATAAATATGACAAAATCATAACTTAGGTATTTTAAATAAACTTTTTTGTTGGTAAACGAAGAATGAATGTACATTGACCTTTGATATCATTAGATTTTAATGAGTTTAATTGTTGTCTAAATAGATATAGTGTATTTGTTGAAAATAGAGATAAGTTTTGTGTCCGAATTTGTTCAAGTTCTTCATATTAAAGATTATTTTCTTCAATAATTATTATTAATTTTGAATTTCCCATTTCAGATGATGATGGTTTTACGTTGTTGTGTTTTATGGGATTAGTTCGAGGTCATTTCATTTGTCTTGATATCTATTCATGTAGAGATGTATAATATTCAACAAGAACAGTTTGATCATTTGATTAGAATTTAATCAAATTTTTCAATGTTAATTCATATAATTGATTATTACGAAATATTTTGTATGCACATGCTTTACGATATAAACCATGTACATTATTTGAATCTACTTCAAGTGCTTTATCGCAATCAACAATTGTTTTGGCTATGTGAGTGGATGAAATGAAGATCCATACTCACACTCCATATCTTCCTGACCTTTTTCTCCAACACAAGTGTTCGAAAACTGGTTGTGTTCAGCAATGCTATAGGTCCATGACCCATTCTCTCAGTAGCTTGGAAATGAGAAATAATCATTATCAATAGAAGAATTTAGCATGCAAAGAATAATCATAGCACATGCTTTTTCTGCCAGAGATTTCGAGAATTGGATTTAATGAAAGTACATACTAACAGAAAAGAGCCTGCATTTATATAACATTTGACAAAGGACGCTGCGAAACTATATTACTCTAAAGGAAGAAGGATTCCCTTAAAATGTAAATTCTTTTTTAAGTAGCATTCTTCGATGAAATGTTTTCATGCTTTCAAAGATAATTAATTTGTATTATGTTATTTTTCCGTAGTAATGAAATTCGATATGTTTTAGCCTTCAGTGTGTGTAGATTTTGTTTTCCTTTTCGATATACAGTCATCATAAAAGTAAATGACAAGCACACCTGTTTGTGAATCTAGATTAGTTCGATCTAGTTATCGTTTGATTGAAAAAAAAAATACGTAAAGTGTCTTTTCATATTTGATTTCGAATGCGTCATTGAAATAAATAGAAGGCTTTGCAAGGCTTAGGTAAGATTGATTTATAAAGAGAAAAGAATATACGTTTGAAAACAACTTTTATTGTGTTTGAATTTTTCTTCATTACTATGATGTTAAGATTTTACTCGCTTCTTCTTTTCATTGTCTTTATAAATGCTGAACAATTTCAACCTGATTGGGAACTTGATTATTTATTTCCATCAATGATTTTCGAGCCAGCTTTTAAATTAACACCACCATATAAACGTGGCATCTATTTATATTCATTTATTATTCCTCCTCCAAGTAAACTGTATGGACCTCATGTAGCTTTTTATCTATTTGCTGGGCAACCGAATAGCAAAACAGCTGAAATTGTTTTGAATCAAGATGATAAATTTTTTCAAACATTATCTGACAAACAATATTGGCAGTCAAAAAAAATACCAACACCATTGTCAATCAATGAAACAACAATTGATCTATATATTCGAGATGGCGACAATGTCGGTCCAACTTATACTATTCATGTGAAACGAGCAACTGAGTAGTTTTGTCAAAATATCTTCAATGCACTACAGAGAAAAAAATTTGATGTCTACTTTATAAACTTATTTCACGTCTCTTTTTGTATTGTGATCAAAATCAATGCAGAATTAAGAAATCATTATTTTAATAATAACTGAATATCAAATAAAGTAAAGATTAAGTCGACATATACTTTCTTTGTTATAAAAGAAAAACTAGTGAACATCTATATTGACAATCATAAAGGCAGAGTTTGAAATCGATGTAACGCGAAACCTTCCTTTAAATCTGCACAAACATCATTTATTCATAGTGAATTAAAATACGAAATCCTTGGATGATCATGAACACTGTATCATGCCATCGATAGGAGATCATTACATTCTGATGAATTGTAATCTTAATGGTCTATTGTTAGCATCATATTCTTAACACAGTATGCCTTGTACTAATAGAAAAGAAGTATGATTGAAGTCATGCTGTTACAAAATTTGAACATATTTCTTTCTGCTGGCTTTGTTTTTATTGTAGAAAGAGTGTGGGTGTGGGAATTAACAACGAGATGACCCACACCCACATAAGGATATGAGTATCGAAGTATAGGTGTAAGCCGTAAATATCAGGCTATAGTTATTAGAGTATATCTTTAGCATATACGTAGATATAGGAGTATAAGGATAAAGATATTGGTGTGTATGTATATAGAGAAACGCTATAAGTGTAACAATCTAGGAGTTACAGCATATTTATTAGGTTATATTGGCGAAGGCTATAGAGATACGGGTATACATATATAAACGTAGGAGTCAGATCAGGTATAAAGAAATCGAGACAAGGATATACATTAGGCCTTTTCAGTAGGAGTGTAGTTATAAGAGTACAGATTTAACGCTGTAGAGTTACAAGACTAGATGCAAGGGTCTGGTGAGAAGAATTCAAGTATACCTATACCCTTATGAGTAGGTGAATGTGGGAGGGAGACCGCAGGCTTGACTATGGGTGTATTTGTGTAACTCTGGCGATGTGATGTGGGTAGGTTTGAGCATTGATTTTTATGGATGTGGGCATGAATGGGTTTGGATGTAGTTGCGGCTATATAGAGGATGCTCACGCATGCCAGCAACTACAGCAAGTTAAAACTCAAGATATTTAAACATAGTTTTTCCCGCTTCCTTGTCTGCCTGCGTCGTATTGATAAAATACTAACGGCAAGTTATATATTACAATAAATAGAAACTATCTAATCTTTTTTTAATTGTTAGACTCATATCAATGAGATACAAATAGTGAGTTACACAAAATGAATACACAATGAATATTTTCTTTTATACAAATAGTTTCTTATCAATAGACCACAAGTGGTAAGAGAAAAGATTGATTAGTTTCTTCCACATTTTAGTTGTTCTCTTCCGTCCACGTTACACAAGATTTTTTTTGAGACCTTCAAAAGAGCTTCTATGACGTCTTTCAAGGTGTCGAAATCTGTTTCGTCGCTTCCAGAGTCTTCACTTGGCATATTGTCTTCAAAACGTTGGTGAGATCGAAAACTTCTAATCTGTTTCGGACATCAAAATCCCAAAAACCACTATGACTGACTTTTTCTGAATTTCCAAGAGTTTGGAAGTCCTTAGAGAATTTTAGATAGTAACAAAATCAGAAACCTTTTAAGGGTTTCTAAGGGTACATTTATTTTTAGAGAGTGCTGTTATAAACCTTTCGATTCACAAACTCTTGAAGTGTATATGACATCGGCATTAACCCTTCACGAATCAAAAAAAGTTTTCTAAAGTGCAAGGGTTGATTATTCTGCAGCTTTGTTACAGTGTAATCTAGAAGAAATGTTATCTTTTCCTTCATATTGTGCTTGTTTTACCATCAGTATGATAGTCAACCGAGACGGATCGATATTCTTCGCTAGAATTGGTCCGTGTCTCGTTACTAGATTAAAACTAAAATATTTCAACGTTCATTTTCAAGTTAAAGTAGACTTGCTACTTTAGCTTTAAAATTAAACTAAAGTTAAAATATTTTTATATAAACTTATCTATTTTCTGACTCATCATTAATTTTTGACCATTTTTAGTTCTAGCAGAAATCTATAAAAGTTATTTATTCACAACATCAGTGCAAATTAAAGTAAATAAATCTAAACAGTCGCATTCTTGTGTAAGACAATTTTAAGTTTGATTTTGCTCAGCCATTCTGGCTGCATCCCACAGCCTTAAGAATCTAAATACCGTTGAATAATGAAAAACTAGAAAATATTGTTTACTTTAATTATACCTTTGACGTTGAATCTCATATTAAAGTCATCTATTTTAATTTTAATGTTCGAGTTAAAGTGTCATATTTAGTCTAAACAAATTAAGTTTGAACTTTATATTCGCTCTTTCTTGGAAAATAAAAGACAGAAAAAAATGATAGTATTTTTGTTAAAATATTGTAAAAGAGAACAAAAATGGAATATTCTGAAAAAGAGCTAGTGTACCAATTCAAACTATGTGTGACATAGAATGAACTGATTTATTCTCTACATATTTGTATTAAAATTCGCACGGGTGATTCTATTTCACGACAGTACACGATTATATATATATACTTATACTTTACCCATTTTTTTCTTTTTCTGTTCTTATTTTCTCTCTCGTTTTCCTCTTATCATTCTCATCATTTCTTATGTATCACTTGGATGGTACACATTTTCTGAACAGTGTTATGAGTGCTTGAAGTCGAATCCCAACTTGTGCACGAAATTCATCACGAATTACTTCTTATTGATCTACTTTCAGTGATGAATGAATGCAGTGAACAACTGTGCGTAGCACAAGTTCACTCTAAGAATTGCTGATCCGCCACACAAATGATAATGGATATAAGTCATTATTCACAAATTTGAAAGAACTAAATAATGGAAAGGATATTATAAGCGTTAAAAGAAGTGATATTTATGAACTACCATTGCTTGACGAGGAACAATGATAAGATATCATAATAGGTTGGAATAATAATAGTAATGAATTTCAACAAAATACGTCAAGGACTATCACATAGACTATCAATTCTCAATTATCCATCGTTTACACCACATTAATCATAACTCAAGTTACACCTAATAATAAAGTATAGCTGTTACTTAATGAAAAGACAAATGGACTACTTCATTGTGAATTATGGCGACAAGTACGAACTTCTTTTTCTTTCTTCTTCGCACCAGTCATAAGAAAATAAAAAGACTTCTGACTTCGTAGCAATAGATTTTTTTTTCGGAAATATTCCACTTTCTCATAATCTAGATTTTGATGTATTTAGCTATTTCAACCAAAATAGTCGAGGGACATTCACTGAAACTAAATGTTACTGTAAGCTGTCGAAATAAAGATTTCGATATTATTGAGTGTGTAAATACCTTAAAAAAACAGTCATAGGATTTCGATTACTTTTATAGTTAATTTTTTTTGTGAAACTTCTTGATTATTATGCTGAATCATTTTTATTATTGATGTGCATGACTACATTTCATCATTATGTTTATTGACTTTTGACTTTGAATGAAGGAAAGAAGGAAGACCTTCCATCTTAAGAGTAAAGCTATTTCTAACTACTATAGTAGATGGTATAATTTTCGTAATTTTCTTTAAATTACAGGGTAACTCAACGAAAAATATGTTGATTTATCATCTTCTTTTGGTTTTTTTTTATATCTGTCGATTTTCATTAATTTAAAAATGATTTCTAGCACTAAAACTTATTTTATATGTCGTCTAAGCAAATAGTATCTTTGCTGAAAAACTCTCAGTTTCTTTGACTAAGACTATAGGTTAGAGTACTAGAGAAACTTCGATACTTAGGCCAATAACAACAATACTCACAAATATTCTCTACTTTAACTGATTTCAGCGCCTCCTTCCATCGATTCTGATTCTTAAAAAAATATCAATTTCGCATTGTCACTGATTCAAAATAAATGGTGATTAAAAAGACAATATTTTTAGAAATTAGACAAGAATGACTTATTTATTTTCTAACATAATACTTTTTCTTTTGTTAGGAATTTCCGTAAACGTATTGACTTTGTATGCGAACCTGTGAAGCTTCTTTATATTTCTCAACGATAAAATTCTTCATCCAAATCAACTTTTATTTCCAGTCAAAAAAAAACCAGTAATTCCATAGTACTATTATATTATTCATCATTAAAGACTCACCTTCTTTCAATGATTTTCGAAAATCTGGAATGCAAGTATTTCTTACCGTACTAATACCAGGCAATGTTCTGCCACACAGATTAACATTCAGGACTCACCTATTAAATGCTACGCTTAACACCGTCGTTTATTGCGATCTATTTTTGTCACGGCTATTAGAAATAGCCTTAACTTATGATGTTTAGGAAAACTGTATAAGCACTCATATTTATCTGTCTTACGCAATTCATTCTTTTGTAAAAATTATAATCTGATATTTCTCACAAGCAGTTTCCGTGAATTTATTGGTGTTCATATGATTCAACGTCTTCAACATCATATATACTGCACACAACACAATAAATACAAGTGGTAAACAAAATATATTTCATAACCACTGACAATATATGAACATTGTAAGCGTTACCCCGGATGTTCACTTTTTCGCATCAGAATTTCTTGCTTAGCCCATCTTATGAACTTAGTTAATCGAGATGGATTTTTTGTAGAACACGAAGTAAAGAACACTTCATCATAATAAAGTTAGCTGGAAAATCGAGGGTACGACAATTTCATCCAAGCAATGCAGTTAGTTGTTGTTTCATTTGAGGATCTTAACAATCTCGTTTTACAACTATGAAACAAACAGGTAAGGTCTGATGGCAAAACTGCCAAGAAAAGTTTCAGAAATCAGATCGACAATGTTATTGTTTTAATTTTCTTTGGCTGCTTTATTTCAAACTAATAATATAGAGAGTATTTTAGAACTAAGAGAAAATATGTACCGTAGTGTTGGCTGTGGGTGGTGGTGATTGTGTCAATTTGAGTTATGAGTGTGAATGTGGGTTTGGGAGGAATGAAGTGTATGTGTGGCTCGGGCTCATGATGGCGGTATAACTAAGGTATATGAACGTGGATGTGGGCGGAGGTAGGGATACGAATGTGACTGTGAGATCGATGGATGCGCTGTCTTCGCTTCACCCAGGCCCACTCACGTACTCACACTCAAATTGAGGGAGACATTCTATGGAATAGTCATATCATTGTCATTATGATGGGCAGATCTAACAGATGTTTTACTGTTGGCTTATGGCCAGATATCCTGAGCATACTTTTCGAATACTGAAGACGAGTTCTTCTTCGACCAGCCAAGCCTCAATTTCTGTCAGTTACGTTGGTTTACATCGAGACTGCGTCCGATCATTATGAAAGTATACATGTCAGAAAACAATGTTCAACTTCATACTTCGAAAAAGTTTGAGAGCTATCAAGCGAAACCTCAAGGAATAGAATTCTGTAGCAAAAAATAGTGCATCATTAGGTGCTTAGATTATTGTGCCTTGGTATTCAGGAAAAATATGTATCCATATGCGATGCTGAATGGATTAAAACTTGACAATTGGTTTACGAACTAATCGATTGAAATTTAAATGAATCGACACCGCTAGACGATGTCGATCTGAAAGAAATTTGAACTATGAAATTCAATAACAATGAACTGAGATAAATGTGTATTTATGTTGGCCATATGTAACCAATTCAGTCTTTTGTTCTTTCCAACAGCTGTGATATCAATTCAACTCAGTTTCGTCCTTTACTTCCTCTTGCTGTCAGTTTATTTTATATGAACAGTAACATTTAAAGAAGTGTAGAGCATATACTGCTAAAGAGTTTCTATTTTGAAAGTCAAGGAATTATCATTTCGTTTATTGTTGGTATGTTATCATAACACGATAGGGATGTAATGCCAAGGCCGCTGAAGTATCTTGGCTTGGTGACACGATGTGCATGTAACCTCCATTACAGTACCAACTATGTTGAACTTGCTGGTTTAAACTAGCGAAATAAGCACTTGGCACTAACGAATTCCCTTGCTCTNTAGGGTGTGGGTGGGTGTGAGTGTCTGCATTTGTAGCACAAACTACACCCACACCGACACCGCCACACCCACCACACCCCATACCCACCCACGCCCTCTTTGAGAAAATAATAAGCTTACAGTTTGACAAACTTTTCATTTGAAGAATTCAACAAAATATTTGTTCTCATAAAAGAAAACCTAAGAAAATTCCATTTTAAAATCTCTAAAGAGTTTTACTAGATTGAGAATATAATCAATATATACTCATCATCGATATTTCTCAATAAAAATTAATCCTTCTAAATATAAAATGCAGTCAATCGATTAAATCTATTTTGACAATTAGTTATTAATTTGAATGAGACTGATTTGATGTATCTTATATTCAAATGATTGCTTTCAAAAAAATTGCCACAGAAATACAAACAAATAATAAATCGATTTAATTTTAATAATTGAACATTTATTTAATCGGATTATGTTTCAAATTTGTTAAGTCATATCATTTTAAAAGTAGAAAAAAATCAACATTTGAAGATATTTATTGGTCAGATATTCTCTTTTGTTTATAATATTCAATATATATATATATACATCTTAATTTGAATGTAAAAAAGGAAAATTGATAATATTATTTTTAAAAGATGTCGATTATTTTGAACATACGAAGAGGACAATAAATATATCCACCCTATGACAAGTGACTACATGTTTTGTTATCAGAATAATAACTAGATAAATATGTTATTTTATCTTGAATTAGTATACAACTGTCTTGATATTTGTTTATTAAGATCTCGTTCCTTTTGTCGATAAAAACTTAAGGAATGTCAGAGGTCGTGCACTGTCATTGATGGCGATTGACCATATTCGGGTTAAATTGTTGCTCTCACTGCCAAACTAGCAAATTTGAAATGTTACGTGTCCATAGTGTACGTGGAGTGAGATACTTGAATTTCAAGGTATATGAAATGAGAGGATCTTCAAAGATCTTATTTTGGACCCTCTAATTTTTTCATCGACATCTTTATTATCTTATATTCAATGAAAAATCTCGTTGAGATGAACATATGTTGTGATGAAACGTACTGTTTTTTTGACTTAAAAATCAAAACATTGGTTAAAGTCAATATTCAGTGTTTTGGAGCTTATTTTGCTTCTATGAGTAATCTGAAATAGTGTTTGTATTAAGATGGAGCGAATGAGAAAAACCTAATCTTCTACTTCAATTAGTAAGTCACATTGTTCCAGAGCATTGATATGAATGTAAAATTTTTTGGTTTGGTTCTTGCTATTGGAATGTGAGTAGATGTGCGTGCTGTTCTGAGTCCTCTATTTATATACTATATAACCTTACTCTCAAACATATCCACATATACTTGAAAAGCAAGAAACTTCACATTCATATCAATGCTCCGGGACAACGTGAATTACTAATTGAGATACAAGATTAGTTTTTTTTCGTTCGTTCTATCTTAATACAAGCACTATTTCAGATTACTCATGGAAGCAATATAAGCCCCAAAACATTGAATATTAACTTTGACCAAGCCTTTGATTTTTAAGTCAAAAAACAGTACGTTTCATCACAACACATGTTCATCTCAACGAGATTTTTCAGTGGATATAAAATAATAAAGATTCTGATGAAAAAATTCGATAGTCCAACATAGAATCTTTTAAGGTCCTCTCGTTTCATATACTGTGAAATTCAAGTATCTCACTCTACGTACACTATGAACACGTAAAATTTTAAATTTACCAGTTTGGCAGTGAGAGCAACAATTTAACCCGAATATGGTCAATCTCCTTCAATGACAGTACACAACCTCTGACATTCCTTAAGTTTTTATCGACAAAAGGAACGAGATCTTAATAAACTAATATCAAGACAGTTGCATACTACTAAAGGACTTTCATTTTTAGAATGTTTCCAGAGTGGAAACAAATCTGATGATTTTTGATACGATACTTCAATAGATCTTGTAGCGAAAATGCGAAATAAACCTGAAAAACAGGGTCCAACCGTCCAACTTTCAATGATCCAATTCTGATGCAATATTTTTTCGCCGACATATATGAGATTCGAAAACATCAATTGTTTATCAGGCGAAAGAGTCATGACGTGAAAGTAGATAAGGGCAAACCATTACGCTTAAGATTTTTCTTACTTGGAAAAAAACAAGTTATTTTTACTCACCTGTATGTTCGATTATAACCGTATTACGACGCAGTTAAAATGAAAATTTCGCACTTATAACAAATAACGGCGCAATTTGCCACTTCAAATAGCAATGATGTAATTGTTAAAAAAAAGTCGACATAGATATCCAATAGAAAGTGTTTGGCAAGTCTCGGAAGAATACATGAAACTGTTTATCACTTTATTGTTACTGAATAATCCAAATAGATAAGTTTATTATTTGAATTTATCTGAGAACGCTGTTGCTGAGCTCTATAAATATACAGACGATGTTTTTGTATTACTATCACAACACATTAAAACATTTTCTTCGTATTTTACGCTTTGTGTACATTGAACAGTAAGTATGCGGTGTAGAAAAATAATTGATTATGTAGCTTTATAGAGACAATTTGCTTTCAAAAAAGGCGTCAGTGCAAATTATTTATCCTTTATTGCATCGTTGTGAGATATAATGAGCGAGAAAAGTCTCAATCACGACTGTTCTGAGCATACAGTAAAAACTGAACAGTAAATTCTATTAAGTTCACTAAGATTTTGTTTTGTAGAGGAATCTTGTCTCTATAAGACTGCATACTTGCTTGTAAAAAGTTTTCCATTGTGTGATTTTACTTATTTAGGTACTTTTCCAAATGTTCAAAACTGAATTTTGTATCTTGATAAATTTTCACGTTGGTTTTATTTTCTTACTCCTTGTTGGAGTAAACGCAAGCCCAACGAGGGCTTTCACTAATCCACTAAATAGCAAAGCTGTGGATCTATTCTTCGTGGTAGATCAAGAGAATTCATACGTGAATTCCATGCAATTGGGATTAATAAAAACGGCCATAAATAACATTGTCACAGAACTAAACCCATCTGGATCAAGTCCTCAGTTCAGTATCTATTTCTACGGTGCAGCATCAACAGTCAGTATTGTTGCTTCAGTGGTTACTACTGCCTCAGCAGTCAAGACAAAATTGGACCAGCAACAATATACAGTGACACAGTCAAATCCATCTACATTGTCATTGGCTTTGAATACTGTGGATTCATATTGTCAGACCTATTGTCGATCGGCCATGCCACGAGTTACTGTTGTTATCTCTAGTATACCAGATTCTTCAGCGGAATTCACCATTCGTCAGTTAGAAAGAAATCGTGGAATGACAGTCATCGTTGTTGGTATTGGAATCATTGCAAACACGGCCATTTTAAATCGACTGGCTTCACATCCTACACGATACTATGCTCTTTCAGTTATGTCTTTCTTTGAGCTGATTCTTGCAACTTCACATATTGCTTCTGTGATTTCTGATGTGCCGCGTCTTCTCGACATTAGCAGCGCATTGTGGATTTCGAGTGTATCCAACGGTATTTATTACACGGTGCAACTTAATACTTATTCATACACATCTACAAATGACACAATCGTCATGTTCGCATCTAATTGTCCAAGCTGCTATGTATATGGTTCGCTGTCCGAACCGAATCCCATTAGTGCCAATACAATTCAAAATAGTTATCGTCAAAATTTCTTTGCTGCTACTGGATATCCCAACAGCCTGTATTACTTTCGTATACCGAAATACACTAATCGATTCTATATAAGTTTAATGGGAAATGGTGTGTCTTCGGCCTATATGTTATTAAACGTCTTCTCCTTGCCCAATATGATGCAAATTTCGACTAGAAACTTTCAAACAACAGATCTTGTAAACACGATTGGATAAACAATTCATGAAATTTGGACAACCGTTCTTTTTTTCTTGTAGAAATAGTCTCGAAAGAAAATTTTCTTTTGTGTAAATAAATAATTATTACCAATCATTTTAACTGAATGTTTTTAAGATAGATCGTTGAACGATAGTTTGATAATTAAAGCTTGTCTGAGAGCATGATTGAACAAATATAAAGCCACTCGTGAGTACTCTATCAATAGACTTGAGGATGTGGATGTTGGTGTCGGAGAAGGTTTATTTTTGAAGAGAAGGCGCATATCCGCAAGGAAAAACTCAACTTACCAACAACCTATCTTGAAAGGGAGATATATATATATTTGATGATACTTTTGAAAAGACAACAATCTAGTGTAAGTGTGAATGTGACTCTTCACTTCATCTTCATTCATAACTGTACACGGTTGGTAACATGAGAACTTGACCGAAAGTTCTATTTTCCAAAGTTCAAATGTTGAAATGAATACGTTTATGGTTAGTTCATTTTACCCTAAAACTAGATTTTCAGAAATCAAATCAAACCCTGAAAAGTTCATCGTCAAAAACTTTGTTCATAGATCGGTAATTATATATAGATCGTTTCTGTTATTAACTTATTGTAGTGTATTGAAAATGATTGTTATTATTGTTACATTGACTTCATTTCTTATTTGTTGGTGTTTGTCTACTAATGAGTCATGATTTTCATATATATATAATTCTATACATATATTTATGTGTATTCTTTTCCTTTGTGTTGTAATCATTCTAATTTCGTATATAACAATATTTCTATTATTATATTTCTTTTGTTTCTTTATTCTATTCTCTGTTCCATTAACATGAGTCATCATTTCTCTGCATATATAGACAGATATATATGTTCGTCTTTCTCTTCTTTGTCGTCAGTTACTCTTGTAAGTTTCGTTTCATCTAACTTGTTATTTGTCTCTGTTCTTCAAGTCAATAAAACACCATTATTGACCTTGACCTCGATTGTATTACGCAATTGATAATACAATACATTTTCTGGCTTTTACATATACCCTGAATACGTGACACTTATCAAAATATTTTTAAATGAAAAACTATTTGAAACAAACGATTGACCTATATTCATCATGGGAAAAAATTATTTCGACCGAACTAGAAATGGAGTAAAAAAGAATCGATTACGAAACTGAAGGTAGATCCAAATATTGGTCGTACCGTGTTTTGTGAACCCTCAAAAGAATTTTAAGCTGATTGAGTTCAAAATTTTCCGATTATTCTCCTATATGTAATTTATCGTTGTCCATAGCGCCCTTTCGTACCAGTTAATAAAGAAGGAACTAGTAGTTTCCTAAAGGACCAGGCTTCTTGGTGGAGTGTGGGTGTTTTTGAAGAGAAGATCTACATCCCTTCCCGTCCACTCCACACTCACACCCTTATATACATAATATTAATATTATTTCCAAAAGATCTTATGATATCAGATCTTAATTTATTAATTCTTTTCTTATTCAAGTGTTTATTATACATTTGAACTTAAATATCGTCTCATGAAAACACATATTCGTGTATGTCGATTTTCAATGGTCGAAATCGAATCTTTTTGATTTCAATGCGTGCGTCGAATCTCGGATTCGATATTAAATGAATATTAATTCGGATCTATAGCATATGAAATTTTATTCTCCACAAAATACAATATCTAACCAAAAGCAAATAAAACAAAAAAAAAAATAAATAAACGAAGGGTATTAAGTGCACTTACTCTCCTCAACCCATTTCCACGCTCGAATCATTTGTTGATTTTTTTAAAAATTTTATTTGCTTATGATTAGATATTGAATTTTTACTGAAAATAAAATTTCATCTGCCATGATTAACGTTTACTGTTATATAATACGTTAGTTGATCTGAGATTCGCCTGAATTAACATCAGTCCCGTATCAAATTTCAGATTGAACACAAACATATATATTTTTTTTATCCAATTTTTTTTTTATAGCAAGCAGCCGAAACATTTAAAACTCGAGTTGTTGCGGATCTCGTACGTAAACTAGATGAAATTAAAAAACGTTTCGCAAAACATTTTTCAATAACATTTTATGGTCTTGGTAAACGTATAAATGAATCTCGATTCATATTAATAAAATAAATATGACAAAATTATAATTAGTTTCTTTTTTTTTTAATAACAAAATTTTTTGTTTGTGTTCTTGTTTAAAACAAAAATTCGGTGATATTTTTTTTTTGTTCAATAAAAAAAAGGAAGAAGATAGTTCATAGATCCGTTTTATTTTCGTAGTCGATCCAATTTGTTAACATCATTTAATATTGATGATATAGATGAATAATATGAAAGTAAATCATTAAGTGATGCTTGATAATGTTGACTGGTCATTGATAATGCTGAGTCAATTCGTGGAAGTGTTGTTAATTCAACAAGAATATTAAAACAATATTTTATATACGAAAATTGTAATATAGTAGATTTATGTTGTTGCTGATAACGTTTTTCAGCATCAACCATTATTCGACAAGCATTAATTATTGTTTCGACTAATTTTGGTGTTGCTGTACTAGTTACTTTAAATAAACCTTTTGTTGGTAAACGAAGAATGAGAGAACATTGACCTTTAATATCATTAGATTTTAATGAATTTAATTGTTGTTCAAATAGATATGGTGCATTTGTTGAAAGTGAATTTAATTTTTGTGTGCGAATTTGTTCAAGTTCTTCATATGAAAGATTATTTTCTTCCATAACTATTGTTGATTTCGAATTTCCCATATCAGACGATGATGATGATGATGATGACGGTTTCGACGTTGTCGTATTTATTGGATTAGTTCGAAGTCGTCTCATTTTTCTTGGTATTTGTTCATGCCGAGATGTATAATATTCAGCAAGAACAGTTTGATTATTTGGCTGTAATTTAATTAAATTTTGCAATGTTAATTCATATGATTGATTATTACGAGACATTTTATATGCACATGCTTTACGATATAATGCACGTGCATTAGTTGGATCTATTGCAAGTGCTTTATCACAATCATCAATTGTTTTTTGTGGCTAAACAAAAGTTTTTTTTTTTGTTATTATTGTTGGGGATATTACTGGATGAGATCATAAATCTGCAACTCTTCTTAGATGTTACTTTCAATAGAATAGAAAGATAGAGTATGAAATTCTGCACATTCATGTCGACTTATTTTGTTTGTTGTTGAATGCAAACAAACATTTCGTGGACTAAAAATTCTTATAGGAGGTCAATCACTTTTCATGTTTCGAATAATAGCTATAGTATTCGTAATTTTTCTGTGATAAACTCAATATGAAAACTACTACGATATTTCTTTATGCTTTATCTTTTTATTCTATTGAAAGTGAGATGAAATCTAAGGACATGGCAGATTGACGATCTCATCTGACTGTGTCTTTGATAATAATTTGAACTATACCTCGAATACTTTTAAATAACATGCAGCTCGATTTGAATATAAAGATGCAACATCTGGTTTAAGTTCAATACAATATGTATAACATCGAATGGCAAGAATAAAACAAGCATCAAGATAAAGTTGATTACCACGTTCTCGATACCAATCATATTGATTTTTAGTAGAAAACTCATTTTTAGTTTTTATATATGTTAAATAACGTTCATCATCATTATTATCTTTTGGTAATTTTTCATGCCATGTTTCACCTTCTATTTTATTCAATTCAATAGACAATCTAAATATAAGAACTTATTCTATTCAAATCTCTGTATAAAATTTTTAATACTTACTTTTCACATGCACGTCGTGCTAACGTATGACTATAATCAGTAGATGGTATACGTGAATAATCTGCGTAACTAAAAAGAAGACTACAAAAAAAAAATCAAAAAACAAATGCAAACCAGTTTTCTTTTAGTAAAGAATTGAAACATACAATTTTTCATTTTCAAATGCTCTAGCTCGACAAATCAATGCATCTGTATCTATTTTATTATATTGTAAAGCTTCACTCGCATATTGTATAGCATGTACATAATTATTAGCTTTTGAATAGCAATTAGCACATATAACTAATGTACTAACAATATGCTCTGCATGATCATGATAATCTGAAAATAAACAAGAAAAAAAAGAATCAAGATTTATAAATGATATTACATAAAAATCTAACCGAGTACTCCATTTTTAAGCATTTTTTTCGATGCTTCAACGGTATTTCTAAGATCATTTGATCCATTATATTTTTGAATATCACGTTGAAGACTATTAAGTTTCGGTGGTCGAGGAGATTTTGACCATGGTTTATCATGAAATGTCGATGAACGATTATTTGATTGTGATATCATTGAATCACGTAACCAATTTTGTATAGTTGAACAAAAATTTGAATTTGAAATTTGATCATTATAAGAATTAGTTATTGTTGATCGTTGTTGAGATAATGTATCATGAAAATGAACATTAGTTTCAAATGAACTTGAAGACATCTAATAAAAATATTATTCAATCAAATAAACAATTAAAATATTCCGTCTTGAGAAAAATAGTTAGACTTAATATATCATAGGTTACTACAAATTAATATTCTTACAAAATTAGTTATATATATATATGTTGGAGGCCGTCGGGTTCATAATTTTTGGATCAGGTCGAATCGTACTTTGATGCTCTCAATGAAGTTATTCTAAACGGAATAGGACAGCCACCCTGAAGCTACGAAATACTTGTTTCCTGTTTTTTGTATTCAGTGACTAGTTCACACCACACATTTCTGAGACGACTCATCTGAGAAATGTATATAGTAGAGCCTATCGAGTTCAAAAATTTTAGACCAACGCGACGGGTTCTAATATACGTGTGCCTTGAATTGCACTCAGTCGCTAAAATAGAAATTCAAGTACAATGAAAGCATCCTCATTGTCAAATTTATTCTAATATAGAAACAAACTTTTACTAAAGTAGGTATATATATTCTGAAAGCACGTAAAATTCTTTATCATGGTATACTTTTGTCAGTCTTGACTTTCAATTATTTGATAACAAATATTTTGAGTATTGTGGATGCGCTCTCATTTTAATTCCTTCACCTTCCATTACTTCATATAACTCATTAAGTAGACCACAATTGGTTATCTAGTAATCAAATAAGATGTACGCATAATTACAGACCTGTCAGTCCTGATGTTAATGTTATTCAAAGGGTTTTTTTTTGTCTTCAATGAACCACTGTGCACAGTTATATCGTGCAAATTTACAACGACACTTGACGTAGGTATGTGATACATAAGTATTATAACAATATTCGAAATATTAATTGAAAGTCAAGACTGATAAAAGTACAAGATAATAGAGAATTTCATGCGCTTTCAGAATATATACTTACATTAGTATTAGCTTGCTCCTATTTTAGAATAAATTTAAAAAAAAAGTGCATGTCCGGAAAACTGACGATGAACGTGCCTTTATGTTATCACAATATATAATTACTTTTGTAAGAATATTAATTTATACCCAAAATATATTAAAAATAGTAACTCGAACTACTTTTTTTTCTCAAGAGAATATATGAATAACTTACTGGAGATTGTTTATGTGGTGGATATTTGCTTGATACTGTTGTCATATTATTATTATCATATAAATCATTAAAATCATCATTTGATATAGTTGAGACTTGTTTTCGATTAGCAGTATTATTGACTGTATATACAATATTTTCAGTAATTGTACTACTAATTATTGTTTGTTTTGTTGGTGGTGTTAATGGTGGTGTACGTAATGGTTTACGATCGATTAATTGTGGTGCATCATCATCATCATCCATTGTTGGTGAAACATTTAAACTGTGTGGTGTATGATCATCATCACTCATATTTCCTGTAAAACCAGCACTAGCTTCGTCACCAAGTACCATATCATCATCATCATCATCATCATCATCATCAACAGCTCTCTCATCTAGTGATGATTTTTGAGAATGAATATTTTGTTTGAATTGATTTGTATCATCACAATGTTGAAAATGATTATCAGACAAAGCCGGAGAAGCATCTTCAGGATCTATGCATGGACGTGAATGAAAATTTGATCTTAAAATAAAAATTTATTACTAAAAAAACGTTTTACAAGATTTATCTTATTACCTTTGAGGAATATCAATATTCATGGATTGAATCGATTCATAAGTAGTTTGATGTTGTTCTTGTACTTCTTCTTCTTCTTCTTCTTCTTCTTCTTCTTCCTCGACTTCCAAGATTGGAATTTTGACTGGTACAGACTAGAAAAAACAATTTTTTTACTATTTCATATAATCGAATATAATTATTTAATTTACAATTGATGGTTGAGTATTAACTTCTTCATTATCATCACCATCATCTTCAGTAATAGGTACACGAACACCTTTTGTCTTTTGAACAGTTGGAATTGTTTTCAATAGATCCTAAAAAAAAAGAAAATTCCAATTTCACTAATAAGTTCTAATCGATATGATCAGTAACTATAAATAAATAAAAGAGATTAATATTCATAAAGGTTTTCTCAATTTTGCTGACATATTTGTTGTTTTTCATATAGAAAAAAAAAATTTTACTTTTGCTTCCTTATTGTCTTGATCTACAGTGAGAAGAATATCAAGATCACTCTTGGCTTCATCATATTGTTGTTTAGCAATTAAACATGATGCTCGACGAAATAATGCTATAAAATTAAAAATATAAGTTTCTTTAAAAAAAAATTTTTTTTTATTATTTTATAAATAAACCTTTGATATGATGTTGATTGGTTGATAATACGTGAGAACAATCCGTAATTGATGCATCATAATTATTCAGTTTATAATCTATAAAGAATATAAATAGAATTCATCCCTAATAAAGAATATATTTTTTTTACTAACATGCTATCGCTCGATTCATATAAGCCATTGGATTTGCATTATCAAGTATAATGCTTTTTGTATATAAATCTATTGATTGTTGATAATTATTAGATTTAAATGCAGTATTTCCATTTAGACGATGTTGTTCAGCCATTTGAAGACGTTGACTTTTCTCATAAATTGGATTCGAAGGACAAGATTTATTTGCTAATTATGAGAAAAAAATAAAATAAAAGAGAACAATATTTAAAAAATGATTATGTATATGTTATGGTCAAAATTAAAATTTCAATTGTGACTAGGTGATATTGAAATTTATTTCTGGATGAATGAAAAGAAAAACATACACATAGACAAACAATAAAAATAGCAACAAGTTTTTGTTGTATTTCACAATACTTATTAACAAATATTATATGCATCTTGAAGCTAGGTTTGCATTTCGTAAAATAAAGTGACATTAACAACGATCTACTTTACTGGAGGTGTTCCACAACCAGAAAAAGATTTTCAGATCTACAACTAAATCCTTACTAGTTTGGATTTTGATTTACTTTTAGACAAAAATAATCTAAACAGTAGGTGTTGCAATAACGGTCACCAAATTGAAAAGTATTTATGTAGATTTAATCCAAAAACATATCCATACTTCAAATTCAAAACAAATCCTAAGGTTCTTGATTCGTAATCTCAAATCTATGCTAGACTTGTTGCATCCTGACTTAGAACTCACGTTCACATCCACACATTTTGTTATCAAGACTTTACCCTTTTTCCTTTCATCGAAAAAACAAAGAAATTTCGATTTCGTGTAGTCAAAATTGAAATTTTAATTTAGATTACAATATATATTTATAAACGAACTTGTCTTTTCATCTTTATCATTGTTATCATCCTCATCATCCTCATCATCATCTACTTCATCGTCTTCATTATCACTACTCAAGTCTTTCGAAAGTTGTTGGTCCAGTCTAAAATAAAATTTAAAATAGAAATTCATTTAGAAAGATTTGTGGCTATCAAGAGACACTTACTTTCCCCATTCATCATAACTTCTTGGTACTATTTGTTTCTGTTTACCGTTACTGTTTATCACAGGTGCTGATGAAGTTGGCGTAATTGAATTACTCTTTGAACGAACAAAAAAAAAAAAGAAAGACCAGTCATGATTAAATATAAATAATCAATAAAAATCTTATTGATTACTTACAATTATAGATTTGGAACGGATTGGTACTGAATCGAAACCATTATTCTGATGATCTTTGGCAATAATAGACGATGTTCTATTTTTTTGTAGCATTTCCTTAAGAAAATCATCCAATTGTTGACGCTCATCATTGGGTAAAGCTGATTTATCAAGTGGAACTTTATCTTTTCGAAGGGTTTGACTGGAAAATAAAAGTATGTTTTTTTCTTCTTCTCAAAACAAGAAACTGTACCTGTTCGGTTTTATATCTTGAATTCGATCCAGTGTTAATTGTTCTAAAGCTGGAAATGAACCTATTTCACCACTTCTATAATTTTTTCAAAAATAACTTTCAATATGGAAAAAGAAATATTTAAATTTTTATATTATTTTACATTAATTCTTTGTATATACGTTCAAGTTCTTTTCCATCTGTACAATTTTGTATATATTTATGTTCAAAATGACTCAATGGTATATTATATTTTTTTGTATTGCCTGCTAAAGCGGCTGTAGCATCATCCATCTAGAAAGATTTTTAGATAATTTTTATATATTTTATATTGAAGTTTTTTTTTTTTTTTTTCTTTTTTTAATACGATTTTTTGAGAACGTTTTATTTTCTATCTTTATACATTAAGAAGAAAGTAAATAAATGTATAATCAAAGATTTTTAACGTGTTTTCAAGTATTTATCATCCCAAGTACATATGTCTACGAGAATAGATACGTTTGTAATGCTTATCTCGTTTTGTTCTCGATCTATTATAAAGGCCATACTGTATTATTATTTGTTGATTTAAAATGTACTGACACATACATATATCGAATAGAAGAAAAGAAAAAAGAATGTAATCGAGTGGTCCGATTGTCGGAAGAGATAACATGATATTATGGGTCTATACGTATGGATAGAATAAATACTAGGCACAATTAGATATTTGTTAGTCAGTCGATTTAGCGGTTACCATAACACATCAACGAGCACTTTCAAGTTACGTTTGTTAAACAAAATGGCAGTTAGTTATTTTACAATTTTCGTCTCTTTCACACTTATTTTATCTACTTTCGCTGCTTCATTAACAGCACCATTTAAACAATGTTCACGTATGTATAAACATTTATTCATCTATTTTCTATGTCTAATTACTATTTTTGATAATTTTAGCACCAAGTTCTGGTGAAGTTATTAAGGTTTCTGTAAATGCTCCTTGTACAGAAGAATATTGTACATTTTATAAGGGTACTGATGCTCGTCTAGAATTTACATTTAATTTAAGTAAGAATTTGAAAAAAAACAAAACAGATAAAACTTCGGTTTTTTTCTTTTTTAAAAGAAAAGAAAGCACATAAAGTTCGAGCTAAAGTAGTAGCAACAATTGGTACAATTGATCATGATTTTGCTTTACCTAACTCAGATGTTTGTGAACAGCTCGGTTGTCCAATTAAAAATGGTGTTGAATATACATACCAAAACAGTATGTATGTTAGTCCAACTTATCCATCGGTATGTTTAATCAAATTTTCTTTCTCGTATGGTTTCTCTTTATTTTATATATGTATGATTTTATAGGTAAAAGTCAATCAAATGCGTTACTATTTAATCGATGGTAAAGGCCGTGAGCTTGTTTGTATCTCACTACCTGTCATGATTACTGAAAAAGTTTCGAAACAATGAATGGTAATGATCGATCAATTCATACATTGTTTGCCAAACAAAGAATAAACATTATACTCAAACTACTCGTACAAGCTTATAAATGTCTCGTTTTCTATTCTCTTTTTTTTTTTTTCAACTGCATTTTTCTTTATTTCTGCTTGTTTTTTCACTGTTTGTTTTTTAAACTGCTATAAAATCCAATAAAAAAAAAAGAACTGAAACTTATTTAAACGAAGAAACTGATCAACACAAGAGTGTCGAGACTAAAAAAGAGAGAAACAGGAAAACTATCAAAAGAAAACAATAATGCCATTACGTATGGAACGTGTACTTTCTATGGAAAACGATCAAACATGTAAGAATATTTTCCTTTCTATTTATCTCTATTTGATGGAAAATAAAAAAAATAATAACCAGTTACTTATGAAAACAACAAAAAAAAAACAAAGAATTTTTCTTTTAAATTCTAAGATTCAGCAACCGAATATCGCGAACGTTTTATGTCACCACGTCGAGAAGATTATCACCCTCATGTAGCTTTACCAAAAATTGATTCTATACGATCACCATTAAGTCGTTCGTGTCTCTCTTTGAATACCGATCCAGATACAACATCAACTTCATCTGAATATCGAATATGTTTTGCAAATCATCATCCAAAACGGCCATATGTCTTTCATGCCCAACCAAGTCATGTTTTTGATTATGTTCCAATGCCAATTAATTCTAAATCTACATCACGTTTATCAGCAAATCGTTCTGTTTTAAAAGATACTGAATATCAAGAACGATATCCAAATTATCCTTCATTTATTCCAGTACATGCACTTATACCACCACATCTTCCCAACAAACCTAATACGCTATCGGATACACAACAAAAACGAGATCGTATGGCACGTAGTCAATATTTTCATCAACTTGTTGCAGATAGTGATAACTTAAATGGTGGACAACGATCATTTGTTACGAGTGAGCAACGTACTGCTTTTCAATGGCCTCGTCGTTTCTCTCAGAGTCAACAAAAAACAAAGCAACGAGAAGCATCAACACCAGTCTATCCACCATATTATACACCTAGAAATATTTATGAACCTCTACCAATACTACAACGAACAATAGTCAATGGTTTCAATTAAAGTTCAACGATTAATTTCAAACAAACAAAAAAAAAAACAAAGACTGACAGAGGAAGTGAATTAGATTCAAATTTCTTATATTAGATAATTCTTTTTTACAAATTTTATTCAACTAAATAAATATTCAAACAATAAGTCATTTCGATCACAGCGACTAGATTCTAACACTTGTACAAGGACAAGAACTGATTCAATTCGTACAATTAGTTACAAACTATATTCTTTAATTTCTTAGCTATCTAGGAAAAACACACCGTTGCTATTTTTATATTAGTCAAAGGTATTCAGTATTTGGGAAAAAATGCATTAGTAATTTAAAACGTATGTTATAAGGTCTCTAAATATGGTAGAGAAAATGACATACCTTGTCAACATTATTACTTTTATTATTTTGAAAGAAAAAAAAAAACAACATTTTCGAATTTTTTAAATGATCTATAAACACTTTAGTTTGCTCTCGTTTAAAAACAAAAAAAGCTATATTCTGCCAAGAGAATAACGCCAATGATTGTTATTATGATATTAAACTTAATTAATTAATGAAACAATACTGATATGTCAATCATTATGTATGAGCTCATATTTTCAGCATTTAGACAGAAGGCCTTGAAAGTAGAATAAATTCAAGCAGGTATAATTTCGAGAGAGAGAAAAGAAAAAATTCCCTACTTGACAGATATGTCAAAATTATCCTCTAGACTTTTTAGCTACTTTAAATCCACTATCAACGTGCGTCACGAGTATATTGATGCGAGTTCATTTAATACAAGTTTGTTTGGCAATAAAGTCCCAGTACTTCAAAGACTTGCATTAAATGAACTCACATTAATATGCTCGTGACATATGCTGATAGTAGATTTGAAGTAACTAAAAAGTTCCAGAGAATAGCCTTGACATATCCTTGAAGTACGGACTTTTCGCTTTCGTTTTTTTATGTGAGCCCATAGATTTTCTCTATAGAATTACGAGAATATAGTTTGATTTAATCTTATTGATCAAAACATTTCTGACTTGCAAACTTGTCGATAAATAGATCTGATTTATCCTAAAAATTTCAATCAACACAATTGCAATCGTCTTGAGATATTTAATGTTCAAAAAGCGATTCAATTTCAGAAACAGTCGAAATCAAAAGTTTTTCAATAGTAAATTTCTCAAGAAGGAAACAACCATGCTAACTGGAAACTCTTAAAAACATTCTTCGAATAAACCAGACCTGCTTATCGACGAAGTATCACGTTAAAAATTCTTTCATCAATTGTCTTACATCCTATAATAAAATTCAACAAAATTCTCGTAATTCTATAGAAAAGATCTATCGACTCGAATCCATTCGGTTTTATTCTAGCCTCGAAGTTTTCTAACTATCTGTCGAAAATAGAAGCTCAACAATAATGAATCACTTTAATCAGTTTTCTCGTACGATTCTTTTCTTTTTTTTCTATTGAAAATATGCTCTGAACGTAAAAGAAAAAATAATTGTTATTGATCATAGAAGAAATTTTATACTTAGCTGGTCGATCCAAGCATAGAGAGAAACATTGATTTTGATTGATTTCTAACAATATCAAACATTTTCGATATATATCATTATTACCTTTACTTAACAATAATATTGATTAACATATTTTTATTTCTATTCTAATTGCATATAGATGTTGATTTATCAAAGATATTTTATAAATAAATTTCAATTTCAGTTGAATATCCATGATAATATTATTTGTCAATACAGAATTACCAAGGCAGAACATACAAATAAATATGAAGAAAGATAATAACGTATAATGATGCATAAATAATCATATCCAACATTTAAATATGAAATAATCATATTCGAAAAACAAAAACTTCTTCATGATTATCTTATTTAGATCGATGAATTTAAACGAAATATGATCTATCTAAAAACAAACCGAATATTCATTAGTTTAAAATTTCGACATGAAATAAAAATTTGTTTCTTATTTTTAATGTCAAAATAGACCATGAACATTTTTTCTTTTATTTGTGAACAAAAAGAATTTCGTGTTAAATTATTCGTGAAGTAGACTCTTCAATGAAAAGATAAATGCACTTTCGAAAGTTGGAATAATTTATATGACTCTGGAAAGTGAAATCTTTCAAAAAGATAGAATAACGACCGAATTCTTTTTTTTTTAATTTTTGAACCTACGAAAAATTCTTATACACATCAGACAGGTTTTGTCGTAATGGCACAAAAAAAAGACGGAAACAAAAAACAGAACGAAAAACAAAACATTAGCATGCATACATATATATAATCAACCACCATTAATATAGAGTTACAAGAAAGATCAATACATTTTTGAAACATCATACCAAAATGAATATTTATGTACAAATGCAACAAAAAAGAAAAACAACAAATAACAGAAACACAGACACACACTGGTCTATTGGTCAGAATTTCAGTTTCCTTTTTTTTTTTTTATATATCATTGTTGTACGATAAAAAAACTATTGATATTCATCATTAAATCAATCAAGCAGAATCTTTATCTACACTCATGTTTTGATCATTAATAGGATCTGTCGTTGTTTTGACTTGTTTTGAACGTTTGTTACCTGATCGATTAGTATCATCGGTAGTATCATTGCGTTTGCTTGACTGTGATGGATCTGTTGTTATTGGATTTGCAGTTGCTCCTGCTGTTGTTTGTAATCTTCCTTTTCCTCGAGTATTTGACACTTGAGGAGCAACAT